GTACCCCACCAGGACAACACACAAACGATAAACACCCGGTGACACAAAGTGCCACCATGTGGATAAGGATCACCCGTGCAGAGATCTCAGAAACCCCTTTCAGCCGTTATGGCTACAATTGTGGCCCAGCTATATTCAAGGCCTCCTGAAAAAGCCAGGGTGGGGCTTCACATTTTGAAAAATTGCATCCCACAAGAGGACGACTTTATTAGTAGAGAGAAATCTGGACTTACTAACAACTGAGGATGTTTTACCACACAGAGCCATTTACAATCCCAAAAATATGTTCACACTAGACTGAACTCTGTTGTTCTGATACACCAGTGCACAGTGTGGTAGTGAGTTACTGAGTCTGCCTCAAGCCCACAGTTTTATGTGACACCTGAACAACCTCTTGGAATGCATTTCGTTCTTTCCCTAGAAAAGTACCAAGCCAGTTTCTGAAGACCTGAGCCAGGTGGGAAACAACTCTGTACTGATGTCGATCACCTCCCCTGTCACCACTTTGTAAGCAGCACAGCACCAGTCAATCAATGATCAAATCATCAGCAGCAACAGCAGCCACAAACCAACTCAACCTACTACTAACTGCCACAACCAATGTCCCATCCTGGTCAATCTAAAATGAGTAGTTCACGACAAACATAAAATGACACCAAATATCCTCCCATATATACATCAAACACAGAGAAACAAACTGTAATATTACCACTTCCATATGGAATGAATATTATACGAGCAAGTTAACATCACCCCATACGGCAACCCCATAATTGCATTATTATTATTGGTTAAGCATCAAGTTATTCATGAGTACACAATCCGTATATTGAAACAAATTAATTCAACTTTTATTCAAGAAACACAAAAACACACTGCACAAACAAAAACATATAACTGATTTTTATATTTCCCCACTCACGTCTTCCTTTCTAATCTTAGTTTAGCTGTATTTTAACATAATCACATTAACAATCTAAAGAGACCAAGCTATGATCCATAGACATTTTTCACTGGGTTCTGATCCCAATCTTCCAGTGTTGGATGGTAAGTCTGTCTGTTTCCCCGAGTGATGTAACTGTATTGTGCCTGTTTATCACAAAGTTGTGATATCTGTGCCTTTCGGCTGACACATCCGACTTCATCTGGCATGTTTTTTACGGGGTTAACTTCCCGGATTTATGTTATTATGCGAGCATGAACTCTACTTGTAGCCTACATTGAAAACACAAGATGCCAGTGTGCAGCAGAGTTTACTTGTATAAAGCATGATTCAACCACCATGCTACAACAGAAGAGAGTAGCTAGAATAGTTGGGTCATGTATTACAAACCAACATTACTAGATCAAAAACAGTCAGACACATCAGGAAAAGCACAAGGTCCAAGAAGATTTCCTGGAGATGAAAGAACAACATAAGTGAAACAACCAATAAGGTATGAGGTTCAGGCTGAAGCTTGGAGAACAGAATAAGTAGCAGCATCAAACAGATAAAGGAAGAAAGATGGTGTGACAAGTTTCTTCACAAATTCACTGACATTTTTCTAGGACTTTTGTTAGGTTTCAAAGGTTATTACGAGCCCTGAAGGGAGAGTAAAGGAGAAGAGAGTACCTCTAAAGCAGCCCTCTGAGAACTTTAGTTTTGGAAATGTAATCACATTGTGAATGCTTGTGATGATGCTAAGATAAAACAGTGGCCCAGAGTAGAAGATCAAAAGTATGTGAGTGAAGAAAGAGAAACGGACACAAAATGACTCTGTAGACCCTGAAGTCTAAACGTTATGGTCTCGGTTATGGTAAGACTCAAACAAAAGTTTACATCTGTTTACCATTCCCTGTAAGATTACATCAGAATATCCACATTTATTTGCAATTTTCATCTACTGAACTAAATAAAATATCATGTATGCACAGACACAACTAGCAAGTTCTACGATATTCAATGCAACTGAAGAAACTTCTCAGAAATTATATCAACAGAGAAGAGAAATCTGCTTGTGAACCAGATGGTTAAAGTCATAAGTAACTGCCTGCTGGTAATCATAAATGAGTGTGGCCGCAGATTTCTGGACTAGACAGTATTTTTAACAATTTGTAAGCAACGATTGTAGTATTTGATTAGTAGTAGTTGGTGAACATCAATCAGCGTGCCCGCAGATCTCTGGACTAGACTAGTACATTAAATAATTTGTGGGAGACAAGATGTTAGAACTCACACAACTTAGAAATGTTGAGATGTAGATTGGCTGAATTAAAGGATGAACCGTCTTTCATAATGTAAAGTCAGTGAAAAAAAGAAGACAGCTTTATAAAGTAAAGTCAGTGAAGAAAAGAAGACATAGCTTCATAAAGTAAAGTCAGTTAAGAAAAGAAGACATAGCTTCATAAAGTAAAGTCAGTGAAGAAAAGATGACGTAGCTTCATAAAGTAAAGTCAGTGAAGAAAAGAAGACATAGCTTCATAAAGTAAAGTCAGTGAAGAAAAGATGACGTAGCTTCATAAAGTAAAGTCAGTGAAGAAAAGAAGACATAGCTTTATAAAGTAAAGTCAGTGAAGAAAAGATGACATAGCTTCATAAAGTAAAGTCAGTGAAGAAAAGAAGACATAGCTTTATAAAGTAAAGTCAGTGAAAAAAAGATGACATAGCTTCATAAAGTAAAGTCAGTGAAGAAAAGATGACATAGCTTCATAAAGTAAAGTCAGTGAAGAAAAGAAGACATAGCTTTATAAAGTAAAGTCAGTGAAGAAAATATGACATAGCTTCATAAAGTAAAGTCAGTGAAGAAAAGATGACATAGCTTCATAAAGTAAAGTCAATGAAGAAAAGATGACATAGCTTCATAAAGTAAAGTCAGTGAAGAAAAGATGACATAGCTTTATAAATTAAAGTCAGTGAAGAAAAGAAGACATAGCTTTATAAAGTAAAATCAGTGAAGAAAAGATGACATAGCTTCATAAAGTAAAGTCAATGAAGAAAAGAAGACATAGCTTTATAAAGTAAAGTCAGTGAAGAAAAGAAGACATAGCTTTATAAAGTAAAATCAGTGAAGAAAAGAAGACATAGCTTTATAAAGTAAAGTCAATGAAGAAAAGAAGACATAGCTTTATAAAGTAAAGTCAGTGAAGAAAAGAAGACATAGCTTTATAAAGTAAAGTCAGTGAAGAAAAGAAGACATAGCTTCATAAAGTAAAGTCAATGAAGAAAAGATGACATAGCTTCATAAAGTAAAGTCAGTGAAGAAAAGAAGACATAGCTTTATAAAGTAAAGTCAGTGAAGAAAAGATGACATAGCTTCATAAAGTAAAGTCAGTGAAGAAAAGATTACATAGCTTTATAAAGCCAGTGAAGAAAAGAAGACATAGCTTCATAAAGTAAAGTCAGTGAAGAAAAAAGACACAGCTGACTTCAGCAGTCATAGCTATTAGAGAATCTCCACATTGTTCTTCGAAGAACAAACAAACACAGAAACTATTTCTAAAGGGCTACAAATTGGGTGTCCAGGCCAAAAAGGAACCAAAACTGAGAACAAACAAATACTATAGCTTGAAAAAATATCATTATGCTGACAACTACAGGACTTGAACCCAAGTTACCTTCTCTCTTTCTGCAGCAACACATTCTACATAAATACTGTACATGGATGAGCACACCGACAAAACCCGCAAACTTCTGGAAACAACAATAAGGCTACCACCTTTTACTAGTGCCTGCTTTGTGTGTTTTATATTAGTCAAGGACTGATGGGGGCTTACCTTTCCTGTCACTATGCGGTGAAGGTGGCTGACAAGATCTTAACCACACCGCATATCAAGTGCCAATCATTCTATTAATATGAAGCTAGCATCTTCTTCTTCTTTAGTCCTGTTCTGCCTTTCCCCTTCAGGTTTCGAAGAGCCTTGGTATGTGCTATAAAAATGCTGGTATTTATGTCCTAAGATATTCCATCTGTCCATCGCTTGCATGGTCGACCTCTAGTCTCTTTCCATGATGTATACGTGACAGGGCTCTCAGTGTTTCAGTATACATGACAGGGCTCTATGTGTTGCAGTATACGTGACAGGGCTCTCTGTGTTTCAGTATACGTGACAGGGCTCTATGTGTTGCAGTATACGTGACAGGGCTCTATGTGTTGCAGTATACTTGACAGGGCTCTTTGTGTTGCAGTATACGTGACAGGGCTCTCTGTGTTGCAGTATACGTGACAGGGCTCTATGTGTTGCAGTATACGTGACAGGGCTCTATGTGTTGAAGTATACATGACAGGGCTCTATGTGTTGCAGTATACGTGACAGGGCTCTCTGTGTTGCAGTATACGTGACAGGGCTCTATGTGTTGAGGTATACGTAACAGGGCTCATGTGTTGCAGTATACGTAACAGGGCTCTATGTGTTGCAGTATACATGACAGGGCTCTATGTGTTGCAGTATACGTGACAGGGCTCTATGTGTTGCACTATCTGGTGCTAGAATGCTAGCATCACTTACCCAATACGACGCAAGGTATAGAAAAAGGATCATTTAGCTACTTTAATGCTGCGAATCCCAAATAGCACATGAGGTGTGAATCATTTTATCGGCTGAATCGACTCTTTAGCTTAATATGCTCTATTTCTCTTTGTATGCGGTCAGAACATACTAAATAAATCTGGCTTGTCCAATGGTCACTACTTCCATTATATTACAGCTCTGGAAGTAATGCAATGATAAATTTTTAATCACAGATATTTCTTCATTGGTATCTTCTACTTAACCTACTTCTGGTACTGAAAGAGCTTACTTCTGAGCCCCACAATTAAGAGATGACACTACTGTACTGAAATGTTATAGCAACTTCATGTTAAAATGCTTGCTTTCTTGTTGACTTCTATCAAAACAATAGTAAACAAATGTCATGTCGCTAGAAAACTTCACTGTACGCCAAACTGTATGAAAATGTATCAAAGAAGATTTGATCAATGATGATGTTACAAACAACCAGATAACATTTGTGATGGAAAGCGCTAATAAAATCTTTTCCGAGAATTCTCCTGCTGCTTCTGGAAAATGATGATGCCCACCATGGCACAGACACCCACGCCGATGACCAGAAGGATGATGATGACCAGCAGTTTCCAGCCGGTCAGGTTGCCCAGCAAGTACGATCCTTTAGAGTCGTCCACCCGGTCTGTGACAGCAAGAGAGAAGTTTACATATAATATTGTAATGAAAGCAAAGCAAGCAAGGGATATTCAGGGTCTGCTACCAAACCTGACAGTTCACACTGTGCTAACGTCTTTGGGCGGAGCAGCTATTGGAGAGGATACTAGGGTTCTTTATTGATATCTTACCCCAGATGACGTCACAGGACAGTCCAACATTTTAGAGGGTGGTAAGAACTGGGTTTCCCGGCTTTCTGATGCTTTTAACGACCCCAAAACATCTAGAACTGACCCTAAACGCAACCAACCTACATCCCACGAGAGAGTGCAGCCTAGGTCTCATGACTGCATGCAGCCTATCTACCACCCCCTGAAATATTAGACTGTCCCATGACCTGTGGATTTCCCCTGCTTCAGGTAGTATATTAATAAAGCACTAAGCACTAGCCTTATCCTTGGATAAGGAAATGCAACCTGAAAAATGATGAATGGGAGGGTAGACACAACTTTAGCCTTGGCTAGCAGCCTGTCTAGGAAGACAGCTCTGACAGGCAGGCAGGCAGGCAGAGCACTGCTCTTTTGACACAGTAGCATGCTTTGTTCCAAATTACATTTCCTTGGGAGTAAACAATTCAAGCAGAGTGAGGAATCATAATGCATGGGTTAAACATGGTCTCTATAATACTGCCCAGCCTTTGTCTTTGAACAGGAAGGATCTTCATCCCTAGCCCCAACTAATCGCCAAGGGCTGTTACTCCCATGCCTCCCCATAGTACTATATAACACTATTGCCTGGAAATGTAATGTACATATTTTTTATGACCAACTGGGACAAAAGTGAGATGGTTAGCACCAAGACTTGCTTCTGTTTACAGAATCATCTCTACAAGCCATATCACATGGCAGGACAACGTGTGCTGCTGCTGTGTTTGAACAGCAGCCTACTGCTGGCACTGTAACAAGCATGCTACTGTGCAGGTTTGTAAAATAGTCTGCCTATGTAATTGTCTGTACAAGACGCATGTTTTTAATCCTCTCGTCTCGGAAACAATAACATAAATGGGTGATGACACCACTAGAGTTCCAGAAAAAAAAAAAATCCTTAAAAACAATATTTTCACACAGATCACTAATAAATTCATTTCAAATTATTTACCAATATTTTAAATATTTTTTTGGAAGTACGTAAAGATATATGAAGGGAATAACCAATAAACATGAACAGGGATAGGCAATAAATGGAGTACATTCCCCAGAGCCTCAAACACGGTATCAGGTAACTCATGCCTTGATCCTTATCACTGAGGCTTACAGGAAAATTTAACATCAATGTTGCTGTAAAAAGGCTATTTGACCCCCCACCCCCCCCCCCCCCATATCCCCTCCAATGCTATTTTTAGTTAATGTATTAATATCCTGACCTCCTAAATGTTTGCGCAGGCGCTAAAACAGTTAATAACATGAATTATGTGTCTCGTAACAAGTCACTACAGATACGTCAGAAAGTGACATTTAGGGGAACTTGACACAACCTGCAGTGTCAGTTTTAGGGAATCTCTGGCCAAAAGTGTTAAAATTCGTTTGTTTTTGTGTTTGTATCTTTGTGTGTGTGTGTGTGTGTGTGTGTGTGTGTGTGTGTGCGCGCGTTCTGAACAAAAACAGATATATCACACTACAACTGAATATGAACAGACATAAAACTTTATAGGAGAACATGAACAGATTTAAAACACTGCAACTGAATGTGAACAGACATTAAAAAAAACTGCAAGTGAACATACATAACTGAACTGATATATACTGAACATGCTTAGATTTTAAAACATTGCAACTGAATGTGAACAGATAAAACACTGCAAATGAGCATGAACACACACAAAACATTACAAGTGAACAACTACCATACCTCGTGGAGCTTCAGCAGATAATGCTTCTGGTAACCCAGTGTATAAGGGTGAATCATTTGATCTCTGTGAACAAATGAGTCAAGTTTCCTTGAATTAAACTCCATTACAGATTTACTGATGACTTTGTCAGGGATGTTTACTTAATGCATCCTCCTCATGTGACTAGTTCATGCAGGCAACAACTCTCTCTCCCCACCCCCCTCCCCACAAGCCACAGCCTCAGAACTACTACTTCTTCTTCACTTCATCTTTCACCACTTTGGGTGTCAAGGGAGATAAAAGGTTCTGCTTGTTGTTTTTTTAGGCCGCCTCAACCAGATGCTTGTCTAGTGCGGATATGCACTAAAAACACACCAATACTGACTGAGCGAATAGGACGTCAAAAGATTACGTAGTGTTGTTAGGGAATTGGAATCTAGGAGATTCGCAGTCGAAAGTTTAAAGAAGGCAGACGTGTGGTCGGGCCTTGGTGGATCCTTGAGGAAGTTCTACCCCGGGATTCCACGTAGAAACCACATTCGAGAGCTGGTACATTATTGCGTTCTGCAGAAAGCAGAAATATTTTAAACTATTGGATCACTCAGCAGGAAAGCTGGCAGAATCAAGAAGGAGGGACACTGCCCTGTTCTCAAGTATCAGACTGCAGATGAAGAGGTCAAAGTAACCGTTTGGACTCTCAAGGTCGTACTGTTGACCCACATGGAGTTGTGAGGATATGAGATATAATATGGATTCTAATGTTTCAAGATGAGTGTGAGTGCGCTAGCTAGTGCTTGGAGTATTTAGGTGAGTCTTAACCACCCATCACATTATTGCACATTTCTCTCATTTGGATCACAGTATTCGTAATACACCAATGTTATACTACGTACATGACCTTCGTCATTTAACTCATTTTGGACACATTGGAGTTGACTGTTATTATTATGGTTATCCTGTTGCATCATTTGAAATAATCTCCGACTGATTTCCCCACACTTGGCTTGTGGAATGTAATATCTTTTATGCTGCACTCGTTGACTTGTACCTAACCCCACGTTGAAAATGGGACCTACGCCTCTCAGTATTGGTGGCGCACATCTCACTGCTGTAAAGTTTCTCTCACATTATCTTTCCATCTTGTTATTGGTCTAGCTTGTGCTCTAGGTCCTTCTCCTCTTTTGGTCTATGCCATGCATGGTATGGTGCACAATGAAAGAGGCCTCAAATATATCTACATGTTTGTTCTATTCTAGCTGGTCAAAGCAATTAGTTCAAATTGTAAAGGCAGTCCACAGGTAGATACTGCTATCAAACTGAGTGATCAGTTCCCTTCCTCATAATGTCTCCTTCACAAACATTCTGATCCAAACAAGCAAGTCCTTATATTACCAGGTGTTTAGAGCCGTATGTTTAATAATAGAATTCAATTACAATAGTCTAAATACAATTGGTATTACACAGTTATTTGCTCTGTATGATTGCTATTTACAGTTACATTCCAGTATATAAACAGACCAACTACTAGATATACACAGACTACAAGATAAACATAACTAAGCATATTGCACGATACATTAAAAAAAAATTATGTGACATACACAAACAGCCAATACTTACAGCTTCATCCGTATCTAGATCATACATTTTTATGGATATAACATCATGGTTATCTGGGAAAATAAAATAAACAAGAAAATAACAATATGTGGTTGAATGTCCTAACACAGCAACAACAATAACTCTATGGTAGTTACTCAAGGACAGAGACAAATTTAACATTGTTCATCTTTGTCCCAGGGCAGGTACGTTCGCTGGCAATGAAAAACTGATAAGAGTGGTAGGCTCTGCTGCAGATGGCCAGCCTACGGATCGTGCCGACAATGTTAATGCCTTTAGAGAGAGAGATGATGATTAAAACATTCTGGAAGCCACTAAGAAAGTGAGAATTGGGAGTAAAAATCGGCAATGCTAGGCAGGAGAGCCACACCGACATACAGGAAATCTTGTCAACCAGAACAGGACTGGCATTATTAACCGCAGGACGATGATGTATATGCTGAAGAGGGAGCACCTATGGAGGTGTCCGGAGTACCAGGAAGATAACCCAACTGATGAATTATAATAATCAAAAATTTAATTACTCAAGGACAGACAGGGACACATTTATCATCTCTAAATGAATATTACTCAATAATGTAATTACTCAAGGACAGACAGGGAAACATTTATCATCTCTAAAAAAATCATAATTCTCAATCTTCTCTGTTAACCCTTGCAGGACCTAAACCAACTCATAAAGCCCATTTTCTACTTGTTCATAATGTTGCAGATAGTTTTTCATAGGATGACTTCTATACCAACCTTTCTAAGTTGCATCTTTTGACATGTATGGATCACCTATTTGTTTCTGCTAGAGACTTCAGTAACAACCAAGTGTGTGTGATTTGTGTATTTGTGTAAATCTTAACTCTCACAGATTTAAAGGAGTTCATGTACTCTGGTGAAAAACCTCCCTGTGTGTATATATAAGAAGGCACTTGAGCACACAGAAATATCCACATGCAATAAAAGTGATCATTCAAAAACAAACCAAAACCAAACCAAACAAAACTGGTGCTCAGAACACACTATGTCAAGACAATGCCATGAAAACAGCCATTTCACTGCTCAGTATGTCAAGACAATGCCATGAAAACAGCTATTTCACTGCTCAGTATGTCAAGACAATGCCATGAAAACAGCTATTTCACTGCTCAGTATGTCAAGACAAAGACAATGCCATGAAAACAGCTATTTCACTGCTCAGTATGTCAAGACAAAGACAATGCCATGAAAACAGTTATTTCACTGCTCAGTATATCAAGACAATGCCATGAAAACAGCTATTTCACTGTGTCAAGACAATGCCATGAAAACAGTTATTTCACTGCTCAGTATGTCAGGACAATGCCATGAAAACAACTATTTCACTGCTCAGTATGTCAAGACAATGCCATGAAAACAACTATTTCACTGCTCAGTATGTCAAGACAATGCCATGAAAACAACTATTTCACTGCTCAGTATGTCAGGACAATGCCATGAAAACAACTATTTCACTGCTCAGTATGTCAAGACAATGCCATGAAAACAGCTATTTCACTGTTCAGTGTGTCAAGACAATGCCATGAAAACAACTATTTCACTGCTCAGTATGTCAGGACAATGCCATGAAAACAACTATTTCACTGCTCAGTATGTCAGGACAATGCCATGAAAACAACTATTTCACTGCTCAGTATGTCAGGATAAAGCCATCACTTGCTTCCCTGCTGGATCTTTCTTCTTCTTCTGGGGCAAAAGCCAAACTCCCAATAGTTAGTTATCATCCTAATGCTCCACGAGTGTATGGGTATCCGTCTCGCCATGAAAATGACCATTTCACTGCTCAGTATGTCAAGTCAATGCCATGCAAAACAACTATTTCATCTCAGTATCTGTGGCCAAACCTAGCTCTAGCTCCCTCTTGTTATGTTGCCATGAAAACAACTATTTCACTGCTCAGTATTCAAATGAAAACAACTATTTTCTTCTCATTGCATGTCCTCCACAAACTATTTCACTGTCTCATTAACCTTAACATACATGCCGTCAACTGTGACTGTGTTTGTTTGCTGAAATTGGACATGTTGGGCACATAAAACATAGCCTGTCAAACACAACTAAACCTGCCAACTACTATTTTAAAGTTGACAACAACAACACAGATTTAAAAAAAAAAAAACCGAATGTCCAAATAATCTTGATCATCTGTGTCTTACGAGAAACGAAGTGCTAGGATATATAACAGATTAAGACAACATGACAGTGAAAGTTACCTGCTAATTCACCAGTAGCAGCAGACACGCCAAAATAGTATCCTACGGGCAACTTGATACCTGTCACAGAGAAACATTCCTTCCATCCACTTTTGTTATCAATATCTGTGGATACCTAGCACATTCACAGTAACAAGTTAATTACTATCCATTGATGCCTAGAACATTCACAGTAACAAGCCCAAACATTATAATTTGTGATACCTAAAACTAGCACTAGTCCCTCTTGTTAATTACTATCCATCGATGCCTAGAACATTCACAGTAACAAGTTAATTACTATCCATTGATGCCTAGAACATTCACAGTAACAAGTTAATTATTATCAAATGATACCTAAAACATTCACAGTAACAAGTTAATTACTATCCATCGATGCCTAGAACATTCACAGTCAAACACAACTAAACCTGCCAACTATCCATTTTGATGCCTAGAACATTCACAGTAACAAAAAAAAAATTATCTAAATAATGATACCTAGAACATTCACAGAAACAAGTGCTAGGATATAAACATACCTAGAACATTGACAGTGACAAGTTAATTATTATCTAATGATACCTAAAGCATTCACAGTAACAAGTTAATTATAGTAATGATGTCTAGCAACATTCACAGTAACCTGTCATTAGAGAATGATACCTAGAACATCCACAGTTGTTAGTTAATTATATCTGTGGATACCTAGAACATTCACAGTAACAAGTTAATTATTATCTAATGATACCTAGAACATTCACAGTAACAAGTTAATTATTATCTAATGATACCTAGAACATTCACAGTAACAAGTTAATTATTATCTAATGATACCTAGAACATTCACAGTAACAAGTTAATTATTATCTAATGATACCTAAAACATTCACAGTAACAAGTTAATTATATCTAATGATGTCTAGAACATTCTCAGTAACAAGTTAATTATATCTAATGATGTCTAGAACATTCACAGTAAAAGTTAATTATATCTAATGATACCTAAAACATTCACAGTAACAAGTTAATTATTATCTAATGATACCTAGAACATTCACAGTAACAAGTTAATTATTATCTAATGATGCCTAGAATATTCACAGTAACAAGTTAATTATTATCTAATGATACCTAGAACATTCACAGTAACAAGTTAATTATATCTAATGATGCCTAGAACATTCACAGTAACAAGTTAATTATATCTAATGATGCTTAGAACATACACTGTAAAAATAAAAATTTTGAGATCGTGCATTTGCTTGCTGCAACTTAGGGATGTGAGCCTATAGTCTCTTACTCCATCATACTCCACCACTGAAGTCAAAAATGGAGCCTAAGAGCTGAAATATTGCAGAACAATTCTTAGAATACTGTGGATCAAGAAGAATTAAAACACCAACACCCTACATGATCTGAGAGCTGAACAGAAGTGGCTCATGAACAGTTTCCTGTCTCAAAAGCTGAAGTATTTTGGTCATGTTTAACATCATGGTGCCTGGGGAGGGAAGTTTCTGAAAAATGAGGCAGAGGCAGACCTCTATGAATGTGGATATATGACTGTGAAGATGCATTAGCTATGAAAGCTCACAGGGCTGGAGAATTGGCTAGACATTCCGTAAAGGACCTGATGATTGATGACTGGTATAAGAGAACTCAAAACGTGCTTTCTTCTAACGCAGACACTTATTGCTCCACAGAAATCAAATCCTGGATGTCCATGACTGAACTACTTCAGTGAAACTAAAAAGCTCAGACAAAAGAGCTGACAGACACAACTGTACTTACTGTAAGTGTGGTTCCCTCGTATCTGATGGCCACATAGGTATCATAGTCCTTGTTGCGGAACTGAGCTTCACACCCAGCCAGCTGAGTGTGCGTGCCGTCAGTGTCATGATCATAGCCCAGGCTTCCGTTGTTCACCATGGCCGAGATGTATGGATGGTTGTGCTGTGCAGAAAACACAAAACCAAACATTTTTTCATCTGTACATAAATAAAAGGCTATTCTGTCGATATTCTAGTCATAGGTTTCTGAAAATATATTTAAAAAAATTGCTATTGTACTGATTTTGTGTGTGTGTGTGTGGTTCTGTTACAACTCTGAACAAATATAAACTGCTATTCTTTTCACTTATATAAATATTTGAACAGTTTCATGCTACTAACTAACAATACATTATTACATTTTTTTATTTTTCTTTGGTGCTGACTTCACAATGGAGGGTTCCTGCAATATATTTACTGCTGTCTTTGGAAATATTACAAGACAAGGACTATATCACTTCCATGCTGTAACTCTGTTAAATGTTAAATGTCAGACTGGCCTGCGTGCCCAATTTGTAACCCTTTGAAAATAAAGTTTGTTCGTTGGTTCGTTCAGTTACCATTGTCCAAAAGCCATGAGACTGGCTTGTTAACAAAACAAACAGCATACAATAATGACTACTGTGAACGGTTGTATGGTACAGAGCACAGCTATACAACCAAGTTCACTCAGGGGCCACAATCTGGAAAATGGGGATTGTCACGGGTCAGAGAGCTGAACCCCACCCAGCACAGAAAGATCATTTATACAATACAAGTGGCAATGATCCGCGGGCCATTTGCTAGGCCTCTGCGGACCGCCAGATGAATAGCCCTGGTACAAAGCAAGGCTTTTCAATAAACAAAAAAAAAAAAAAAACCACACATACAAACAAAATTAACAGGGGTTACACAAGGATGTGTTTTATCAACTGATATTTTTAACAAACTTGTCTAGATGTGCTGCTGGGGGAGAGCAACAGAAAGGAATTATTATTACATATTAGCAAAACCCAATGAATGTTGTAATCTTGATTCCAATATGTTTTATAATATAGTAATGTCACTGCTTTATATACAGTCATTATTTTTTTTAAAGATCAATAATTTCCAATATCTAGACTGCAAAGTCTTATGGAGTTTGTGTCACACATTATGGGAAATGTATCACAGACACACACACAAAGAATTCTCATAACCTAATATTCTTTTACAAGAATGAACAATGTTAGGAAACACAGAAACAGCAAAAATAAAGTCCCTTTACAGAAAATTTTTATGTGACCTGTTCGTTCCTCTGTACAGATGTGACTGATGACCAATAACCAGTGAAATGTTGAAGAAACCAGGCCACACAGATGTGGTTTTTGAGACTGAAATGTTGAAGAAACCAGGCCACACAGATGTGGTTTTTGAGACTGAAATGTTGAAGAAACCAGGCCACATAGATGTGGTTTTTTAGGCTGAAGTGTTGAAGAAACCAGGCCACATAAATGTGGTTTTTGAGACTGAAATGGTGAATAAACTGAACACAATGGAAATGTGGCTTCTGATAAATCTATGTCATTGTACAAGTGATCGATTACACTGTTTTCTTCTGTATACTTTTAATCCTGACAAGAAATAAATGTTGAAATACACACTGCAGTACTTTTAACATATGAAACAAAACACGTATGTATTCAATTTCAAGGGAACATGCAGAAGCAATAATAAAGGGATCTTAACTTTGTGAGACAAACGTTCAAACAAGATATGAGACATGTTTGGTATACATACATTATGTGGGCCATTGTGGTTGCTGTATGTGTCCAGGAAGATGGCAAGTCCAACAAAATTATCAATGCTGCCAAACACAGGACCTTTAGGACAGAACAAAAAAACAATTGTAACTTATCTTACATAGTCAAGAAAGAAATCTGCAAATATGCTGGGAAATCTTCACAAACTAATTAGTTGAAAATCCCATGTCATATGGGGTTTCCAAGGAGACAGGTTAAGAGTTCAAAGGCCAGCTAGAAAACAGTTAATTAAAAGGTGAGACTATTAATGCAACTGTTCATATGTGATCAAGGAACATAGGATTCACATGGTGATGTAAATTTATTGGCAAAATCTCACAGAGGAAGTGAACAAGCTGATGTGAGAGAAAGGTATTCTGTATGACAGCCAGAGGGAGAAGACTGTCTGAGTGTGTAAGGAATGAAATAAACAAGCTGATGAGAGAGAAAGGTAGATTCATTCTGTATGACGGCCAGAGGGAGAGAATCGTCTGAGTGTGCGAGGAATGAAGTGAACAAACTGATTGAGAGAAAGGTAGATTCATTCTGTATGATAGCCAGAGGAAGAAGATCGTCTGAGTGTGCGAGGAATGAAATAATCAAGATGATGTGAGAGAAAGGTAGATTTATTCTCTGTGACAGCCGGATGGAGAATATCGTATGATTGTGCGAGGATCGAAATAAACAAGCTGATGTGAGAGAAAAGTAGATTTATTCTGTGTGACAGCCAGGAAGAGAAAAAGGATCATCTGAGTGTGCGAGGAATGAAGTGAACACCTGGCAACGAATGGTGGACAAGACAAAGAAAGCTTGCTGATTGTCAGACACTCATTGCACAGATTGAGAGCTTGTTTTCGTTATTAATTATTCAGTACTACTTCTTTGCCATCCACCTTTTCTGCTGTGGGTAACATGAGTTCAACTTCAAGTGAAATACAGTAAAGTTTAGACTGGATACTGTGAGGCAGCCTTTGGTTTATGTATAATGCAGACGTTCTAATGTTTAGACCTGGCTAATCTATGTGGTTTGATACACAACAGTAATAATACTGTCCTATCATCTAGTTTTATCTAGCTCATAAGTGTGATTCCGTGTACAATGTTAAAGTCTTACTGCCGGGACCTGGCTAATCTATGTGGTTTGATACACAACAGTAATAAACTGTCCTATCATCTAGTTTTATCTAGCTCATAAGTGTGATTCCGTGTACAATGTTAAAATCTTACTGCCGAGACCTGGCTAATCTATGTGGTTTGATACACAACAGTAATAAACTGTCCTATCATCTAGTTTTATCTAGTTCATAAGTGTGATTCCGTGTACAATGTTAAAGTCTTACTGCCGGGACCTGGCTAATCTATGTGGTTTGATACACAACAGTAATAAACTGTCCTATCATCTAGTTTTATCTAGGTCATAAGTGTGATTCCGTGTACAATGTTAAAGTCTTACTGCCAAGACCTGGCTAATCTATGTGGTTTGATACACAACAGTAATAAACTGTCCTATCATCTAGTTTTATCTAGCTCATAAGTGTGATTCCGTGTACAATGTTAAAGTCTTACTGCCGAGACCTGGCTAATCTATGTGGTTTGATACACAACAGTAATAAACTGTCCTATCATCTAGTTTTATCTAGCTCATAAGTGTGATTCCGTGTACAATGTTAAAATCTTACTGCCGAGACCTGGCTAATCTATGTGGTTTGATACACAACAGTAATAAACTGTCCTATCATCTAGTTTTATCTAGCTCATAAGTGTGATTCCATGTACAATGTTAAAGTCTTACTGCCGGGACCTGGCTAATATATGTTTTATTATATACAACAGTAATAATACTATCCTATCATCTAGTTACATTTGGCTCATAAGTGTGATTCCATATACAATGATAAAGTCTCACTGTCTAGAACCTGCTTACAGGTGAGTTTTTACACAATATTGTCTTATGTGTAGACCTGGCTAATATGTGTGGTACTATACATAATCATCTAGTTATACCTGAGTCATAAGTGTGATTCCATGTACAATTATAAAGTCCAGATGGGGCTTATAAGTGAGTTTATACACAATATTGTCTTATGTCTAGACCTGGCTTATAGGTGAGTTTATACGCAGCAATAATACTGTCCCACCATCTAGTTATACCCTGCTCATAAGTGCGATTCCATGTACAGTCATAAGTCAATTTATTTCCAGACATCATTATTCTTTTATCTGTCCAGGGTGTTCTCATTACCTCAATACTAATCTGTACAACTACATTGCTTCCAAATCTTTTTCTTCTTCTTCTTACAGTCTGAGCTGTGTGGCGTTGGTAGTCAACTTTCAGTCTCTTGTGCTTTCAATCGACTCTGACACAGATGATGCTCCATGCCATGATGTCAAACCATCCATCATCTTCTTTATCAGTCTCCCTCTGCCTCTCCTCACCTCTAACTTTCCCATTGTGAACTCCTGTTTTCACAACATGACCAAAGAATGGGCAGTCAGTGATAAGTCAATTTCTTTCAGGACATCATTTTCGTTTTATCTGTCCAAGGTGTTCTGAGCATCTTATCATTCACTTTTATTTACTATATCACACTGTCGCTTCCAAATAGTAGTGGCTAAGTTTACAGATTGGCTGCAATATCTGCAATGCTTTGCCCAACACATAAAATTTCAGCCAACCACTATTTAGTTGTCTTTTATGACATGCTTTATGGAGGGTTGGCAGTGGGTTTATTCGCCTAGGCTACCCAACCCCCTCCAAATGGAGCCCTGATCCTACATGGGGAAGCTAGTATCTTATAGACATGGCTTATACTTATGGTTTTCCACATGTGGGTTCCAGGGCTCCGATGTGGAGCCAAAATTAACAGACGTAGTCTCCACAAAAAGCCTGTCAAAGGAGTTAACTAGCTGGGATTTTCCTCCTAAGTAGGAATACATCTGCTTGAATGGCAAGGAACCAACAGTCTGCATACAAGTAAAAGATTTGTAAAACCGATGTGCAGGCAACACTCAGGCTCTGAAACAAGACTTAAGTCCGGAGGTGAAAAACACACAGAAATGTCTGCCGGAATTCACGGTCAGTGAGTGCGAAGAAGAAGAAAAAGATATGTATGGTTTTATGCACAAGTAAAATGTCTTACTGACTAGTATATAAGCGTACTAACCACAATGTTGTGGAGTTCCTCATTCACAATTAATAACTCATAAAAATATGCTTTAAAGTAAACAATTATTTACAAAACAGTGGTGACAGATGTGTGAAACCAACAAACAGTTTAGCAACAAGAGCCAAATGACACAGATGGTACAAAAAAGCAGTACAAAGAAATCAGTTTCAAAATACCAGATTTCATTCTGTCTCGTGTGTACCAGATAGCAAAGCCATCACCAAACAGTGTCTTGCCACTTCCGTGAACTTTGAACTGTACATGCAGCTCCCAGTTTCTCACGTAGCAGGGCTGAAAGCAACAAAGAATTTGCAATTCTTAGCAAGTAAATCAAACAGATTTAAAAATAACATTACAATGGCCAGCTCTGATCCATATGTAATGACTGATTAAAACAAACAATCAAAACAAGAAGAAAGAGAAGAATTGGACATGGAAAACAAAGAGAAAGCAAAGCAATTAAAAGTATTTCAGAAGGGAACCCCTAGGGGTAGAGTATAGTATTAAATTAAATCTTCTGCGCTCCCACTTAAAAGGGTGGCTGACATGCTAGGAAGTTTCCCCCCCAACAAATTCAATTTCAGTAATCTCCTAATAAGTCCCTGTTATAATGTGCTTGTTTGGGAGTGGAAAGCCTATCCCCCCACCTTAATGTGGCCACGAAACCCACACAGGGATCAAAGCAAACGTTATGTATAGTGAATACTACTGAGTTGCATAGAAAACTGGGTCAGTGAATAAGGAATTCAAAAGTGAACCAAGGCTCTCAGGATGTGGATATGCAGAAGAATATGCCAGTATTTCATGAAAGCAAAACCAAAGAGAGGCTTCAGAGAGCGTCTGGGCAATAAAAAAAACTGTTGATGAAAATAATAAAAGAGAGATAAGTAGAACATTTTGTCAAGATTTAAGACAAAAATAGGGTGTTACTGAATGTGTGTACCATTGTTAATGTGTATGAGAAAGTAGTTTTGAATCTGAAGATTTAGGCAGCATGGCAGTTCAGGTTAGGATGTTTACTTCTGCCTCCAACAGAAGCAAAAAAAACCAACCCATCACCGTACTGAGGATCTGACCCAAGTCTCTCACACCCAGCATTCTAACTGTTTGGCAAGACACTCACTCCTTTTTTAATTAATGCAATTTTTTTTTTAAAACTACATTAAAGGGAATTGTCAAGCATAGGTGAGCAAGAGGTAAAAGGTGATACAAGTGGGAAGATAACATCAAGAGATAGAATGGCTGTCAGGGTATACGACCAGGATGAGAGACGGATAGTGATGGAGATACAGTGCAGCCAATCACCTTAGAGGTGCTATCTGACGGACTGAACAAAGCACAACAAAAAATACATGTATTAATACAAAAGTAATCAATCATTGACTTAAGAAGCCACATCACTGCACACCGGGCATACCCACAGCAAATGTCTTAAGGTATAGATGCTGACTGTTACTGTAACACACTGATTATACATACTCATACTCTTCCTCTCATATATCCTTCCTTGCGGCATCCACTCCTAAGTTCACACATTCTTTCTGCGTTATTTCGTCTAATTCCCCTGTCTGCTCTGACCAGCAGAAGTATTTCTATAGCTATCACTTTTTGCAGTGACCAAAATCGTGGTCAGCTGCAGTCAAGTGGACATCAACAACTGAACACGCTGAACTATGAAAAAGAAGCTCAACGGGGGGTGGGGGGGGGGGGGGGGGGGGGGGGGGAATGGAAAAACATATATAGGAAAAAAATTTAATGTTTCAACGAAAGTCTTTATCAGCGAGCACTACAAGAAGACAAGAATCCTAGACACCTATGAGTGGACAATGATGTCCAGGATTCTGTCTCTTGTTGTCCTAGTGCTGGTTTATAAAGCTTCTGCTGAAATGTTCAGCTGTTTCTCTATACATGTTTTCTCTCCATTCCCTCCATCATGCAACTTCTCAGCCATAGTTCATGGTGTTCAGCTATATGTCACATACAGCACATACCACAGTGTTCCAAATAGCTCCCATCTGACTCTGCCTGTCTGGGGTGAGTCGAATGTAGTTGTTGGTGACAATGGTGCTGCCCAAAAAGTCCCATTGTGGGACTCCCAGTCCTGATCCTGACAGAGAGACAAATCAACACTATTTCAACTGACAAATATAAGAAAATATATAAGCTAACAGACTGGAATACTGATAAAATATAGATATTCATTACACACTGTGAATTCACCTCTCTCTCTCTGTTTCATGTTTACCTCATCTCTATTAGTAAATATCCGCTCTGCGCTGCTAGATGTGGCATTTTAACAGATGATAGGTAGCAGAGCCAGGGTGTGCTCAGTTGCTTGGTACCCTTCAAGTCTTAGGTTGTCACCGACTTCCTTGATGCCTTTTTTTTCTAGATCTTCCTTTAACTCCTGGTGTTTCTATTTTCATATTCTATGCTCTTTTCTGCGGGCATAATTGGGTTCATTCTCATTAGGTGGCCAAACCATTTGAGTCTTTGTTTCTCAATGAATTTATGACAGTTCATGTCTTTAATTTAAACTACTAGGCATCTCACGTTCTGTAAATATTGCTATGACTATCACTTTCAAGGAAGTCCAGAATATGGAACTATGAGCAATTTTTATTCTGAATTTCAGATCTGAAATGGATGAAAAAGGTAAATAGTATCTGAACCACTTTGAAAATCTGACAGGAAAGTGAGCTAATGGTAGCTGATTTTTATAAATGGACACAAAATCAGCTGACAGAAACTGAATGCTGGCTAGATAAGTGATAACAGTGACAGACATTTCCCCTATCTCAAAGCTATAACTGAGAAAAAAAAATCAATTAGCAGAAGAAGACAGGATGCCAAAAAGAAAGAGGCAGAAGGGCAGCAGGAGGATTTTCTGGGTTGAGAAAAAAAAAGGAGTTAATAGTTATTAAAGAAGACACAGAGGCTGAAAGTAATAACCAGAGGTAACTAGAATCCACATAGTATGCACAGCTGTCAGGGGGAAAAGGAGTTAATAGTTATTAAAGAAGACACAGAGGCTACCAGAGGTAACTAGTATCTATATAGTATGCACAGCTGTCAGGGGAAAAAGGAGTTAATAGTTATTAAAGAAGACACAGAGGCTACCAGAGGTAACTAGTATCCACATAGTATGCACATCTGTCAGGTTAAAAAAAGAAGTTAATAGTTATTAAAGAAGACACAGAGGCTACCAGAGGTAACTAGTATCTACATAGTATGCACAGCTGTCAGGAAAAAAAAGGAGTTAATAGCTATTAAAGAAGACAGAGACTACCAGAGGTAACTAGTATCTACATAGTATGCACAGCTGTCAGGAAAAAAAGGAGTTAATAGTTTTTAAAGAAGACACAGAGGCTGAAAGTAATAACCAGAGGTAACTAGTATCTACATAGTATGCACAGCTGTCAGGAAAAAAAGGAGTTAATAGTTATTAAAGAAGACACAGAGACTACCAGAGGTAACTAGTATCCACATAGTATGCACAGCTGTCAGGTAAAAAAAGGAGTTAATAGTTATAAAGAAGACACAGAGGCTACCAGAGGTAACTAGTATCTATATAGTATGCACAGCTGTCAGGAAAAAAAGGAGTTATTAGTTATTAAAGAAGACACAGAGGCTACCAGAGGTAACTAGTATCCACATAGTATGCACAGCCGTCAGGGAAACAAAAATATTTTGTAAATGTATGCGTAAGATAACACTGAAAAAAGGGAACTAACTGACACCAGAAATTTGAGTGCTTCCTCAAGAGACTAAGAAAGATAATCAATTTCTTGACTGTTGCCAAAACTAACATCCCAGTACATTGGCCAAACAAGCTGACTGTTGTTTTTAGCCCAAATACTGAAAGTCAGAAAGGTGGTGCAGACCTTTTAGGGAAAGTCAGAAACATATGAACAAAATGACACCACATCTAGATTGGCACACACAGCAGGGCTATTCAAATATGTTTACTCTTGTTCTTCTTCAGGAGCCCTTGAGGTTCATTGCTGCAGATATAGGTTTTTCTTTTTTAATCTGTAAATCCATTGTCATCCCTTTTTTTGGGATGCAATTTTTCGTTATTTGAAGCCCTACTCTGGCTCTTGCCAGGGGCTGCAATATAGCCGGGCCATAAATATGGTCTAATGGCTGAACGCAGTTTCTGGGACCTCTCCACGGGTGATCCTCATCCACATGGTGGCACTTTGTGTCATCGGGTGTTTATGTGTGCTGTCCTGGTGGGGTAAAAGAAGATAGAAAGAGAGATATCACCCGTCTCCACTCATCTCTCTGATTGGCCTTCTCTTTCCAGTTGGTGACACCAAGTGTTTGCAGGTATCTATGAACTTTATTTCTCCATCACCTTCTTGGTCTGCCTCGCGGTCTACCAACATTTAGCTCCCTTGTGTACACAGTTTTTACCTGTCTGTCAACTGACATTCTCTCAATATGCCCCATCCACTTCAGTCTGTTAGCTCTCATGATGCCAGTCATCAATGGAGATTTAAACAGAATATGAATTGTATTGTTACTTCTCATTCTCAATTCCCCGATGTTTGCATCTTTGATGGATCCAAAGATTCATCATAATACTCTATTTTTGATAATTTGTGATGAGGCTTCATCTCTTTTAGTTGTTCTCCAAGTTTCAGAGCCATATAAAATGATTGGGCTTATCAACATTTTTTATATTTGGATCTTGGTGTTGCGAGATAAGACTTTGACTTTAGCAAATGTTGAAGAGCATAGCATACTTTATTTCCAAATTGTATTCTAGATTGTGTTTCTTCTCTCAGCATGTTGAAGCAGTTGAAGTTTGCACCCAAATACATGTTTCTGTTCGTTTGGTTTTCATATTAGCGACTTTATGTGGCCAGAGTTTATAACCTTTCCCTCTCTTGTTATTATTATGTGTTCTGTCTTATCTTGAATGATAACTAGTCCCATTTTGTGAGCTGCTTCTTTTAAGAGAGTCAGTCTCTAGTTCATTTTCTCAAAAAATATCAAGGTCATCTGCATAACCAAGTATTCTTGTAGTTTCTCCTATAGGCTCTTGTTTCAATTTCCTTTCCTCATAATTTTCTCAAATTTTATTTCACAGTTAGGCAGAGCTCTCATCCAGGATTATTTCAGAAAAAAAAATTATATTGGTGTCAGAAGATTTTTTGGTAACCTTATTTTTGCACCTAAGTGCAGCCACACAATGTTTTTTCTTGAAATATGTTCTCCATTCAATTTGGTGCAAAAATACAAAATATTATGAGTTTATGTCAAATATGTGGCACATGGGAAAGTGCAAGATTAATGGGTTTGGTAGTCAGTGGGTTAAACTCCTGATTGAAGACATTTTAACAGCTGCAGCTTTAGAGACATTCGTGTTTTGTTTTCTTCTCTGCCAACAATATTAAATACATTTTTCTCAAAACCCACACAGCCACTATCTCCAACTTCTTCCCCATATCATTACTCACCATACAACATTCACACCCATGCAGATGAATAGGGCCCACACAACGTTTTTTTAAGCAGATTTTTCTAATTATAATATTTATAGTGTTCGTGTCAATGCTCACTCTTGACTATTATCATAAAGGATAATTATGAAGAAACTCATGAAGTAATACTATGATCAATACTCACTTTTGGGTTTCATTTATGTATCCAGTAATTGAGCTATTGAGGAAAATTGATCTTCTGTTCCATACGTTACATATGCCATTGAAATAAAGAAGAATAACTGCATTCCTTTGTCATAACCATGAACAGCTGTTTGCCACAGAAAACCTCTTTTCATTAAGCCTGGAGCATGACTTTTTAGGGCCACTTTTTTTAAGTTCAAGTTAACTTATTACCTACTGGGTGAAAGTTTGGGAAAATTATTCTATATCAGGCTGGCATAACATCCAATGATAAATAGTATTCAATTACTTCCACAGATTAGATCAGTAAATACAATTAAAGATACGGTGCCGTATCTGTTCTCCTGACTCATATCCTCAATAGTAGGCAGTGCAAGTATATATCGCATACATACCACTGTGGTATTTCTTGTACATCCCAGAATTACCCGCATGGCTTCATGTATGCTGACTCTTTAATATGGTAAGCATGCCAAGTCCATAATCTATCCCCGACAGCATCACATGCTGGAACATTGTGAACAACATTTTTCGTTCCATGTCCATTGCTGCCATAATCTTGAGAGCATTGAGTCCTTTTTGGCGTTTTACTGCAACTGCCTCCACACGATCCCTGAAGGAAAGGCTTCTATAAAAAATGATACCCGGGTACCTCAGTTTGCTTTCTCTTTTGATGTTACTGTTATTAACTGTAAGGTTTGGAATGGGCTATCCTCCGAATAACGGTCCCAAATTATCGAGGCCGAAAATATACCCTAACAGGGCCTCAGTCACGTGACAATTGTGAACTTCCGGGGACTATACCGCCAACCGTCGAGAGTATGCCGCTCACACGGCGTGGATTGGGGCTAAACTAGATGGCTGGGACTCACACGCAAATAAAATGAAGGAAGCTGCAGGAGATGCGATAGCTGCTGCTTGTAAGTCCCAGCCATCTAGTTGAGATCCAATCCACGCCGCTCACGCAGCGTGGGGAATACTCTCGGCAGTGGCAGAAGTCGCCGGAAGTGCGCAATTTAAGTCGCCAGAAGTATGCAATTGACACGTGACTGAGGCCCTGTTAGGGTATATTTTCGGACTCAATAATTTGGGACCGTTATTCGGAGGATCACCTTGGAATGTTAGCTTTTACAATTCTATTGTCCAGAGAGCACCACAAAAGAGTTTTTCAGAGTTTATGACAGCACCTATTTCTGCACACCAGTCAGTCACTTTGTCTACAGTTGCCTGTAGCTCATTTGCTATCCGTCGTCAATCTCTCCCCTGCCTATATGCAAGAACATCATCGGCAAATGACAATATTCTTTAAACACCTGGTGATTCAAGTTCTGCAATCTTGCTTGTATACACATTAAAGAGCACAGGTGAAATTGAAGAACCCTGGGGTAGTCCCAGGGCGATATAACGTGGTTCTGAGGTCCATGTACCCAGGCGGTAGGCAACCATACGTGAATGCAGGACAGCTGCTATCCAGTTCACAAACCACGCACAAACCCCCTTCTTATTTAGTAATTAGTTTAGTACACTCTAATCTCTTGTATCTGAATTATTAGTTTAACTGCTTATGTCCCATAGTGTCTGTTGAACTTCTTCAGAACTATGTATTTAAAACTATTTATTGCTCTTAAGCTCAATTTTTTCAGGGAAGTCTGAAAGCGTTTTGAAAAAATAATACTAATACTTGTATTGAAAATTATTAATATAACCTTCTTTTAACAAAATAAATTTTTATTGTTTAATATTAATTTTTTAAAAAATTATATCAATATATATAATTATATATAATTTGTATAAATATTCGTCTGGCAAATAAAATGTACAAGCAGAGAAGACTGATGCAATGTTTATGGTACACTAGGGATATGTAAAGAAGATACGCTAGTGTCGACGTGGTCCATAATGTACTATGTAGTGATACACCTATCTGCGACTTCTGCTATTTTGCTGGCTGGCTCTGTGGTTTCTAGGGTAGAAAGTTTTACAGAAGCGCACAAGTTGGTGAAAATCTCAAGCCGCTACTACCAAGGTTAAACATAACGATATATATCTACCTTGATATGGTTTGACAAGGCTGTGTTCCCTTCTCTGGAAATCTTTGGTATTCCATTCCCCGCTGACTAAAAAAGTAAGCACTTGAAACATCAACACCACAAGACTGCGGTAAGGCACTGCTGCAGCCATCTTGAAATCTAAAAATAACGGTTGGCCAGCATTTTACACATTGGAGATCAGCTGCTAATTTTTGTGAAGCTAAATTTAGATTAAAGTAAAGATCCCTTTTCACGCCTTAAAGCTTATCAGGTATATGGAAAGAGCGACTATCTTTTTACAGACCATGAGCACTTGGTGGGTAATGTGGTCAGCATTAGGCCGGATGTTTTTACTTCCCCAAGACAGCCATCCTGGTACCCATTTAAGGTTGGGTAGACCTGCGACACCCCATACCATGATAAAAATCCACTAAATTTAGATATAGTTCAAAAATATTTTTGGGTGCCGCCGTGGTCTTGCGGCTAGACGCTTGCCTGCGATAGTGAAGGTCGTTGGTTCTGGTCCTGACAGGGTCTAAACTTTTTTTCAAAAATGACCTTGGCTTCCAGGTCGACCCAACCTTGAGTGGCACAGAACTGGGAAGCAAAGACAGGGGATGTGATGCTGACCACATCACTCACCAAGTGCCGCTTGGTCTATAAAATATTGGTATATATATCCAATCTCCTGAAGGGGTTTAAAATTATCCTTTACTTTCTTTACTTTAAAATATATTGTTAACATTTTCCCGTATTTCTAAAAGCGTGTTCCTGAACTTTTTTTTTTTTTTGCACCCACGACCAAACAAAATAGGGGGCATTCGCAATCCATGGGACAGCTAACCAAACACAGAAACAAAAACATATGTACGTAGCAGTTTATTTGTCGACTACGATTTCATAACATTTAAGTCTTCAGCTAATGCAACATTTGCTGCTATAGGTTAGAAAATATTATAAACTTGTCTGGAGCGTTGTTTCTGAACCACGAAGCGATGGAATAACAGCAATTTGACTACACACACCCACATACACACGCACACACACACACACACACACACATATATATATATATATATATATATGTGTGTGTGTGTGTGTGTGTGTGTGTGTTCATATATGTATATGTCACTGACAGACATGAAAAAGTCTGTTCAAACAAATATGAAGCACCAACGAAACCAACAATCTGAAAACTCAGAGATGAATATTATTTTTCGAGTGATGTCCAAAACTCAGACAGTTATTGCATTTTATGTTGTTACACAATATTGACATCAGAAGTAACTCCGTCGACTTTTCTTTTTCATGATGATCAAGTGCGCGTGATCTTAAATCTTCAAACTGGGGGTTATTAAGCCAAATTTTGCCCTTATGTGGATTCTTATGTTCAGGAAAATATCCGTCACTCGTCTATATGTTGTATGCTTTTAAATGGGGTTTCCAGGATCTGTGCATAATAGAGTCTCATCAAAAGTATTGATCCTAGAGACCTACCTGTTCTTTTCGCGGCCCACGAGTTAACTAACACTGTTCTAGACGTTAGTGCTACAAAATAATGTATGGGTATAGGCCTATGTTATGTTATCTGTACATATGTTTATATGGTAGGCATGGAAATCGTAGCAAAAAGCGATGACGAATGTGACTAGCAAGACCACCTGACGTTAAGAAAAGTCTTTCCTAATTAGATTATTGGATTTCAAAAGGATCGCTGCATCGAATAGACAGGTATATAACGTGCTTCTTCGATGACGCTCATCTTTAAACTGATCTGCATCAATTGTCTCATTTATTCTTATTCCCTTTCTGATTTCACCCCTCCATTCAAAACGGTCAACGGCATCCTGTTCCTACGAATTCATTTCAGTACCTGAGGCATTTATACCCTGCTTGCCCACTGTTGAATCTTAGCAGAGATCAACCTAGACATACCCTTACTTGGTCCCGAACGTAGGTGGGGAAACAAAAAAGGGGGGGGGGGAAAGAAGGTTAATATAACCTTACGGTAGAGAAGGGCTTGCTGGGAGTTATGTCGGAATCTCGATTCTCATTCTTGTGGTGGTAATCCTGCGGACCTCTTCTTCTTCTTCTTCTTTTCACTATTCCTGGAATGCCTCGCGGCGTCAGGGCAGGAATAGATCTCTGGAACGGGCCCTTCTGTTCACTTTATATAAAGTAATTTTTAGTGTCCATGATATTACTGCGGTTCAATTCCTGTAGTCGACCTTTGGACTGTTTTCGCTGTATTTGCAAAACTTTTGCGCTCCGTGGTGCTCCGTTTGATGCCAATATTTTTACTATATCTACGTTCCTAAGTCGGACTGCAGTCCTGAAAGAGACAAACTACAACTGCACCTCGACATTATATTTACATTAGTGCTCCTTTTATAGCATTGAACTGTGATTCCCGCCCTGACTGAGGAAAAATTTCTCCGTAGTTCATATGAGTCTAAGATCTGTCCATACTTCGAGAGTAGCAACGTATATCTTCAGAACGTGTTTCGTTGTTTTATTTGTTGTTCGGCTCTTTATTTGGTACGTACAGTATTATCATCTTGAAAACTCAGAAGACGGGTCATGAAGCATTACTCATACAAGTATAGTAGGAAATTGAAATTAAAAAAAAAAAAGTTATGTTTGTACGCCTTATGGGCAAAATGTTAAGTGTTATATTTCGGCGCTGTAGTAACTTATGACATAGGCCTCGATGCTTTCCATTTTATTAGTACCCTCCCTGTCTGCAGCGATAATATCACGGTGGGAATCATTTTCGCCTAATAACAAAATAATTTCACCGGAATTTATAATACTTTTCAACACCAGACCACTAACGTTGAATTTTCTGAGAGAACTAAACAAATCCAAGCAAATCAAAAGGTGAAGAAAAGATTATGGCGTTGGATAGGACACACGTTGAAAAAAAATATATACCTAGAAGGTGTTACACTGGAACCCACAGGCGCATCAAAGTAAGCGTAGACACACAAAAAAAACACACACACACACACGGATAAGGAGTGGAGTTCAAAAAGATGTGGATAACACGGGCGGGGTAAGTTGCATACGACAGTAAATGATAGGGCAACGTGGCATCAGTTGGTTGATGGAAAACTATAATAATTTTAATTTAGCCACTGGGGGGATAAAGGGAAGAAGAAGAAGAAGAATGGTTCCACACGATATTTATGTATATGAAAATTGCTGCTATCACCTGAATACATTTCGCCGGCAAAGAAATGACTGCAAGCAAACTGTAAGCCATCCTGGCAGCAAGCAAGTATCCTGTAATCAGCAGCCAGCACGACATGGGGGGAGACAACCCTCGCTGGCGTCTGCTGGAAACAAACCGCAGTCCAACCGTGCTATTTTCGTACATCCTCCTCCTACAACCATCCCTGTGTCGTTGAGTCGTAGAAGACGGATTCCGATTTTAAAAGGTTGAAGTATTGGTTAGCCCAGCACCGGTTAGCCTGTCAGGTGAATGTGAATAATAATAACAAGTAATCGAGTGAGTAAGAGAGTATTTCCTTGACTTATAATTTCCTCTTTGACAGTCTGACAGTGACAGAGCTGATTGATCTGATCGCTAATCACTTGCCTTGTTTTAAGACTTTTTAAGTAAATGACATTTATAGAAGTTGAATTTCATTTAGAAACTTGAACTAGTACTAGAGTTCAGTTTTATTTAAAAAGTTGGGTATAATTTTATCTTTGTTCATTTTGAATATGTGAACTTCCGGAATTTAACAAATACTACAAACTACAATGCAGAATTGAGAACATTTGAAGTAACAGGTAGCGGATATCTTTTGTATGTGATGTGCCACTTCGTGGTAACGAGAGAAGCAGGTCCTGATTCATAAACATTTTTTACAGGTAACACATTATTTTCAAGTGATAACATTTTGGGCGACTTGTGCCAATATATAGTTACAGTCTAGTGGCTTGTGCTATCTACTCATTAACTAACTAGCTAGTCACATAGAAAATTAATGCCCTTATATGCTTGAACAAATACGCAGAAAAGATAAGAAGCTCAGGATACAGGGCATGTTTTACTGGCTGGAGAAACCTTTTTTTTTCTTCAGCTTTGCTGTTTTGTGATTACCAGCACCTTTTTTGACATTTATTTGTGAGTACCAGCACTTCTTTCCATAGAAACAAGACCTGAGATGAGATATATATATATAGATAGATATGTTTGCTTGAACTCATTCCTTAGACAGACAGTCAGTGACTTGAGTATTTCATAGCTAATTTCTGATTCTCACCTTCTGTGAACAGTAGGGCACACAAAGATAGGACTGATTAAAACTACTTGGGAGGTTGAACAGTGCCCACCTGGATGCCACTTGTCAGCCACCTGGGTCATCAGACATTCAAGTAACAGAAGAGAACACAGTCATATTTTAGAGGTGCAGGTTTTACCCCTGTGTACACATCACATAAGTTTTCTGGCTCTCCTCCAAACTTCTACCCCGGCATTATGGCGGCCAAACAAATATCCTAACAGGGCCTCAGTCCTATTAAAAATATGCAAACTTCCGGCGAGGAACGAATCGCGGAAAAACTAGGATTACCTGACAACTTCAAGGTAACACTGCAGACAATAGTAGCAGACGACAATAGCGACCGCTGACACTTTCAAGCATTTCTGCATACGATACTAGCGACCATTGACAATTTTGAAACACGCAACATTACAGACGATAAAAGCCACACAGCGGGGAGACCATGTGCGTCTACGCAGATTAGTGTCCTTTTTGTCCCCAAACTTTTCGGCATGCGCATAATGCGGTTACACTCACCGGCGACACTATCCCCCGCACCGCTACGCGCGGCACGGATGGGGAGGGGGGCTAAACTAGATGCCTATGACTCACGAGCAAATAAATTGGAGGAAGTTGCAGGAGATGCTGTAGCTGCTGCTCTTGAGTCATAGCCATCTAGTTTAACCTCTATCCGCGCCATGCGTAGCGGAGCGGGGGATACGGTCGGCGGTGAGGCATAGTCACAGAAACAAGTCTGCAATTAACATATCGCCGAGACCCTGTTAGAGCATTTGTTTCGTTATACGGAGCCGATCCTAGTTTTGCCGCTCGGCAGGAAGTCCGCGAAGTCCACATGTTTCATAGGACTGAGGCCCTGTTGGGATATTTGTTTGGCCGCCATAATGCCGGGGTAGAAGTTCGGAGGAGAGCCGTTTTCTTTGTTGATTTGTCTTCTGATATCTACATTTATCATCTTCTCTTTTATCTATGTGTGTCTATCAATGCCCATAAGTAAACACATTTTTTCCGATGAACTCTGAGTTTTCTCCTTCATCTTTCCTTTTACACAGTTGAGGGGAATGGAAAGCAAACAAATCTGTTGAGGACTGTAGTGCTTGCGTTATACAAGGAGGGGCAAACAATCTGCATTTTCCCTAATACCTTTCACCTTAATTGTCTAGAACTCTCCATTACCAGGGGTTAAGCATCAGAGGACCAGGGAGATATAACATTTCACAGCAATAACATACAAAAAAGACAACTACTGCTGCTATGTAACATACTTTATACACAGTAATGAACAGGAATGGTCAGGGTTTAATATTAGTACACTTTCTCCCAGACTTATGGCCTATGCAGCTTACAACTGTACGTACTTATGACCACAAAAAATAGGCAAATAAAAGTAGTAAATAAAGAAAGATAACTAACTACATTGTTGAGGTCAAAAAGTCCCTGGAAATGATGCAGCAGAGTATATATTATGCATTTTTCACATTATATACAATAATTATATGTAAATAGATTGCATTTTTGTGTTTTGTGTACAATATTGATAACATGTTTTTTGAAAATAGAGTTTACAAATATAAATTCAACTTAATAACTAATTTGACTTATGACCTGTTCGTCGCAATGGAACTCTTTCATAAGTTAGGGAGGCCCTATATACTGCTATACCAATAATTGTGTTAGAAGTGAAATATTAGCAAGTGCATAATGAATGTGTTGAGAGAAGTATAAACATTGTCATAATCCTAATGTGTGATTCATACCTCACGTCTGTTCCTTCATCTTCTTCTTTATTTACAGCCTGTAAGCTCTGGTGAAAAGTCCTGGTTGTTCGTCCATTTGGCTTTGTGCCAGGGTCTGTGTTTTGCATGTACATCCGCTGTACAGGCTTATTTGTGTACAGTTTGTTGTTCCTTGCCACTCAGGCAGATGCACTCTACGACATGCTTGTTGGGGAGGTAGTGTGTCTGTTCTTGTCTTCCCCACAATAGGACCCCGGAACCCACACGGGGATCTGTTCCTCCATTCTATTTTATCCTGTGCAGTCTTCAAATATAAGTGTATTATACTACTAACCTAGCATACTGTAACAGAAGAAGAAGATACATTTCAAGTTAAAAACTCATACCATATTAGACACGAAGCAAATCAGCATCATCGTCGTCATGTGCTGTGCTGGCACATGTTGGTATAGTCAGACATGTTTCACCATCTCACACGATCACAGGAACCATAGATCGGGTCAGGATTCTTGTCTAGCCCCATCCGTGGGGCAAAGCCATCCAGGCATTTATATCTTTTGTCTCCCTCTATCCTCCATCAATCTTGCCAGTTTTTTCAAAGTTCCTGAGTCCATTCCATCTCATAACACCAGATAGCCATAGAATAAGTTAGTGATCTAAAGGTCTTTTATTTTTTTTGATATTTTATGTAGAGTATTGATATCTATGTAAACTACTGACTGACTTTCTACCCCACCAGGACATCACACAAGCGACAAACACCCGATGACACATAGTGCCACCATGCGGATGAGGATCACCCTGGAGAGGTCCCAGAAACCGAGTTCAGACAATTGGCCATATTGATGGCCTGCCTATATTGCGGCCCCTGGCAAAAGCCAGAGTGGGGCTTCAAATATGAAAAAATTACGTCCTGAAAAGGACGTAAGTAAGGAATGTATGATGTAAACTACCGTATTAACATTTTCTGTATTCATTGATTTTCTGTGTTTAAATCAGGTTTGGTGGACCAAATCACTGAGTTTTCTTTTGATGGCTGTAATTGGAGGTGAACAGTTTATGTCACTGGAAACGAAGGGTGGCCCAATGACTGTCGAGGAGGAGCGAGATTATTATAGGTAATATGTAGTCATGGCTCAGTGCTTTAGCACTTTGTATATTGTTCTGAAGCTATTTTCTAACTCTGCTTATTTCCCTTGTGGGTTCCAGGGCTCTGTTGTGGGGAAAATAAAAATAGACCTATTGCCTACCCAAAAGCATGTCATAAGAGTCATCTACTTAGGAGCTTTTTTTAAAGTCAGAGTGCATCTGCTTGAGAGGTGAGGATCCAACAGTCTGCATATAATTGGGGCAGATCTGTAAAATGGAAGTGCATGCAACACTCAGGTTGTGGAACAGAATTAAAGTCCAGAAGTTGGTGAATACCCAGAACTTTTTGCTAGAGTTTACAGTTGGTGAACACAAAGGAGAAGAATTTTGCTTATGTATGTTGCATTGCTTCAAAACAATTTGGATTATGAGATGAACGTAGGGGTGACTACAGTTGAGCTGCTATAAATGAATTCACTGAACACAGACTATGACTAAGATTCTTTACAAGGGGTAAAGATAAAAACAGTACATTTAGGAGCAGTCGGACATTTCAGCTAAAGACTTTGTTGGTGAGAGGCACAACCCCTGATTGATAAAGGCTTTGGATGACATGTCTGCTTGTTCTTGGGTGTATCAGTTAGTTAATTAGTTGGGATATTACCATTGCACTCCAGACATGCCCATAGGTGCTCAGATCCTTCCCTCAATATGAACCCCAGCATCCTGTGACTAATTGAGCCAGTTCTTTGTTGATCGATAAGTCTTTTTGAATGTCCGGTATGCCCGGCTCTCTAGCGTAGTTGGCTAAACCGGATTGCGCGGAGAACGGGTGACGAACTCCTTGTGGTCCGGGTTCAACCCCGGGGGTAGGCAGGAAAGCCACATTTTCTCCCAGATTTACGGTATTTACAATGGAATCAAGGCCAAAAGGATGCGATATCCATAATACCGAGCCTAAGGGTAAACAACTCATGGCTTCTGGATACTAAAACAAACAAACAATATCCGGTATGTCTCTCACTTTTGGCTATGCCGATGTTAACTGGGTGTATCAGTGTTCAAAGCCAATGATGTGTTAACGTACTGTTTATGTTGACATTGTTTTGTCATCATTACTTCCAGGTGGCAATAGCAGTAACTTTCTTTTCTGTTCACCTTGTTTTTTACAGAGCTTAAAATAAGGTACATTTTATGATTTTTTTCACAATTGGATTTCTGGCCCAATTACCTCGAAAAATTAAGTAAAATAAATTTATGTTGAACTGTTGTTTTGTAGGCAGCGGTTCCTGAGTCTAAAATTAGTGTTAAAAGAGCTTCAGCAGCAGCTGTTACTGTATAAGACAAGATGTTCAGGTGTGGATACGGTCGCCCTCATGCTGAAGGAGTCCAAGCAAGAAGTGATGACTCTGACAAAACAGCGCAGAGCCCTTGAGACGGCAGTGGCCAATCTTCAGAACAGGCTGTCAGCTAATGGCTTGTCAAATAGGTATGTTGCAGCAGTGTTTGTTGTCTGGTTTGATTTGTTTTTATTGTTCCTAAGCACTGCTGCTCAAATACTGATGATATGCCCCAGCTCACAGAGGCTGATATGATTGTGTACAAACAGAAATGCAGTTAGACTGACATCCATTGTTGTCCAGGATCTGGTAATGACCATTGCAGAGATAGCTAGTGCAGTAAAGCTGAGCTCTTCTCCTCCTCCTACTTTTTCTTCTTCTTCTTCAAGCCTTTAAAGCTCACCACTGCAGATATCTCACTTGCTTTCATACATCTCAGGGATTGGCTTTCTCTTTACAGTTGGTGACTGCAGGTGTTTTGAAGGTCTGCCTGTATATTATCTCTTCACTGTGTTCTTGATCTACTTTGTGATCTACTTTTATCCATCTCTCTTGTAGACACAGTTTTTCTCTCTCTAAGTATTATCTACCTTTCTCTCTGTATACGCCAGCTGTCACAGTCTGCAAGCCTTCCTGATGCCAGTAATTATTGGTGATTTAAACAGATTATGAATTTTATTTTGTTGCTTCTCAATGTGCATATTTTTACTTAGTATTTCTGGTAAACTTGTAAGACAAAGCAGTACAATTTCACACAAACTTCTTGTCTAGTCGGTTCATGAGATCTCCTCATTTTCTACGCACTTAAGTAAGCCACTGTCGGTTTGCTGGACCAAGGACAGCGTTTACAAACTTCCTAGAAGGTCACACTTGAACTAGACTGTCACATTGAGACTAGTTTATTTAACACAGCTTCCACACTAGGATGTCTGAAGCTGACGACCTTGGTTAGATGCTGGCTGAAAAAATAAACATCCTTTCCTTGCCATCTTGACATAAACTGATCATGTGAAAAGTGCTACCTGCCTGCCTGCCTGCCTGTTGTAATTATATTGATATTTTCGCCTGATAATAATTGTACATATTGTCATTTTTAGTGTGAGCATAGAGGAAACAGAGCTGTTTGTGCCAGGCGCTTCAAAACAAACTTTAGACAACTTGGCCAAGGAAAATGCTAGACTACGAACTCTTCTTAAGAGTCATGAAGCCCAGGCTAGCAAGAAGCCATCAGAGGTGAGTATAGGTTCTACTTTTCTTCTGTATCTACTTGTCTTCCTGAGTATATGTTCTATTTTTCTTCTGTATCTGCTTGTCTTCCTGAGAAGAGGTTATGTTTTTCTTCTGTATCTGTTTGTCTGCCTGAGCATAGGTTCTGTTTTTTTTTCTGTATCTGTCTACCACATCTGGTTTTCTGTTATTGTTCTTCTGTATATATTTTTCTTCTGTATTTATTTTCCCTATATATATATATATATATATATTGGAGTTTCTTTTTTCCCCCTATACAACTTGTAAAGTTACTGATATTGCTTCACACAACTTGTAATGTTTTTTATATTGTTTCTTACAGCTTGTAATGTGAATGATACTGTTTTTTGTCTGCTTATAAAATTAATGATACTGTTTTATACAACTTGAAAATGTAAATAATACTGTAATAGCCTACTTGTAATGTTAATGATACTGTTTTATGTCTGCTGTAATGTGAATGATACTGTTTTATGCCTGCTGTAATGTTAATGATACTGTTTTACGTATGCTGTAATGTGAATGATACTGTTTTATGCCTGCTGTAATGTTAATGATACTGTTTTACGTATGCTGTAATGTGAATGATACTGTTTTATAACTGCTGTAAAGTTAATGATACTGTTTTATGCCTGCTGTAATGTTAATGATACTGTTTTATGCCTGCTGTAATGTTAATGATACTGTTTTATGCCTGTATGCAGTGTTATTGGCACAGTTTTATTTATACCTGCTTCATTTTTCTGTAAATTGTTTCAGGACATTCATAACATGACAGCATTAGTAGAGAAACTAGAAGCAGAAAACAACCAGCTGCGAGTGCAGCTGATGGAAGTGGAGCAGCTGAAGCTAGTTGTCAGGAGCCAGTACGAAGATGTCATCAAGAGAATCAAGGATGCCCATCAAGCAGAGAAACAGCAGCTGGAGCAGGAGCTGACCCAGAACCTGCAGGGGCAAGTCGTCAGCTCCAGGCACAATGAGAGCGATTGTGATATTGAAAGACAGACCAAAGCAACTCAGACAGTGGGTCTAGCACCCAGCAAGGTGGATGAGGTCAGGCAAGCTCTGAGGATGCTCTCAGATCATTGCATAGCTCTTGATCAGAGTCTGGAGCATGTTCAGGAGGAGGCAAAGTTGGAAAAAATAGAGAAAGACAATGACATGGCACCTAATGATAAAGTAAGGATACTTAACTGATTAGATAAGGTTACGTGATAATAGGTTATTCTTTTTAATAGTCCATGCTGTGTGGTATTGGTATTCATGTTTGTCCTCAGCCTTCAGTCTCATTTACTGTCATTTGTGAACTATTTCAGTCCTAAACAACCCATAATGTGATAAGTTTTCTTTCTCATGAATCACAGCCAGTGAATAATGTGTTCTGTTACATTTTAAATTTTGTCAGAGCATTTTACAGAAATCTGGCTACTCTGCTGACCTCATTAGCAGTGTTAAGATCCTATTTAGGATTCATAATTATTCCCACTTGGGGATCTGCTGTCAGATCTTCTGGTACTGAAAGAGGTTATGGTACAATTGTTCTTACATACCATGGTGCTAAACTGTCTAGAATCTTCTCTCTGTCTTGGTCTCTCTTTGTCTCTCTTCCCTCCAGCTTTCCGGTTACCACATACTCCACTTTTGCCCATCTCACAAAATGATCAACGGATGTAGATTGTGGTCTTCTGATGTGAATAATCAGTTCTCTTTATGAGTTAATTTCTTTCAGGCATCTTCATTACAGTTTAAAATAACAGGAAAACACTAAATGTTAGTCAAAATACCTGTATTTTAAAATTATTACACATCGCCCTTATTATAAATCTGTTAAATTGCCAAATGCCAAATGTTATTTTTCTGATTGATGTTAAGAGGTCTCTGTAATTAGAAGTAAATTACTGTGTGTTTTAAGTTACTTATAAAGCTTACAAACAGTTTTCAAGTTGTGGAACAAGAAAAAATTCAGAAATAGACGAACAGCCTGAACTTTCTGCCAGAGTTAACAGCCAGTGAAAGTGAAGAAAAACTAAACTACATTTTTCTGTCTTTGAACAAGTACAGTACTGTGGTTAACTAAGCACCATAAAAATGAACAGCAGACCATTTTCAGGCAATGAGGAAGGGAATTGACCCCTCCATATAGTAAATCTGGACCTAAAATATGTAATGGCCTAAAACTTCATACTCCAACAGCAAAATCTGCTATGGGGCTGTGTTTGCCCTTTTACTTTCCTCATCTTTTAGTGTATAGCGTTGGTAGTTATGTCTGTCAACTGATCTTCTGTCTTGTAAATAGTCTTATAGTCTGTATCGTGTGGTGCTGGTAGTCATGTCTATCCCCCTACCTTGACTTGATGTTGAAAAACTGGGACTCTTCAAAGTAACCTGAGGGTGTGCCTTATATTTGAGTCTGTAGTTTGTGAGCGGTGTTCAATTGACTTTCTTGTTGTAGCACATTGGTGTGCCTGGTCATTTCTGAGTGGGGCATGCATTCCACTGGCCTGCTTGGTGGGCTATCTGCATAGTCCGTGCGGCAGTTTGGGTTCATACAAGATGGCGGGGTAGGGGTAACTGTCCTAAAAAGGACGGTTAGGGTTGCTGGGGTGGGTTGGCGTATGGGGAATGGGTGGGACTGGTGAGGTTCGGATGCTTGGCTGGTCGCGCGGTGCAGGGTTTCTGCATGCTGGTTGAGCTAGTTTAGTGGGCTGTCATGGCAGCGAGGCTGGATTCGATTGGTTGCTGGTTTCTGCTGGGTTTGTCTGCTTAAGTCGCCTCTGGGTTGCTAGCGTTTCTTGTGGCACTGGTTGCGACGGTTGATCTGTTTGGTTGCGGCTCTCGCACTGATGATATCCTGGGCTCTTGACATCTCTTTGAGTAGATTGTCTTTGTACTCCCTTGCGTTCTGGTATAATCGTTCTTTGGCGGCGATCTCAGTGTCCGAGGCGCGGTGGTAGAGCACCCACCAGCTGAGCCCGAGCCACTTTCCTATACTTGGTTCATTCACTTCGTTCATGCGGCTCACCAGTTCTTCGATGTATGCTGGTGTTAGTTCGTCGTCGGGTACGACGGCTGGCATTTCAAGGACTCGTCTTGTAGGCTCTGTGAAATCGGCTTCTTCTTCATCTGAGTCTTGTTCTGGGTCTTCGTATTCTGGATCAGATCCTTGCTCTTGCATGTCGGTCGGATTGAGCTGGGTTTCAATGAGATTTTTGATGTTGCTTACAGCTTCTTTTAGAATTGCTTGTATGTTTGTCTCTTGTTCCGACTTTTCTTTCTGTCTAGTTTTCTCCATGCTGGCTGTTAGTAATGCTGCGTTTGCCTTAGATGTTGCCTCTACTTGCCGAGCGATTTCTTTATAGGTACTTTCGCGGGCTTCTTTGAGAGTGGCCATCTCTCTCTGGTATTCCTCTCTTTCTGCTTGACGGCGAGCCATATCCTGATCTTGTGCTGCCTTCAGTTGTGATAGTAAGTTTTGCAATTTTTCAGTTGCCTCTGTTATTTTAGCTAGTAGCCTCGTATGCTGGGCTGCTTCTGCTTGCTTGTCTGCTCTCTGGGCTTTTAACTCATCCAGAGTTTGGGAGATGAGGCCTAGCATCTCAATTCTGTCTGCAGTGGCTTCGTCTCTGTTGACTTTTTGATTCTTGAGCGAACTGATTTCGTTTCTGATTTCAGTCAGCTGTTGTGCTGTTTCGCCGTCTTTAGCGGCTGGGCTAGTTCTGTGGTTTGGTCTTGCTGCTCTTGGCTGAGTGGGCCGCCTTTTGCAGTCTTTCAAGTAGGGGCAACCCTGGTATCTGGCGCTATGTGGTCCTGAGCAGTTGGAGCACCTTCTGTTTGTGTTTGGTCTTCTAAAATCTTGGTCCACTTTGGCCAGGGGGCACTCTTTAAAGTCGTGCGCCCCTGCACAGTAACGACATATGGGCTCGCTACGACAGGTCGCGGCAGTGTGCCACACCCTATTGCACCGAGCACACTGTGGGATGTCAGATGAGTGGTTACCCTGCTGCTGGGTCCTCCCTTGCGTGCTTGAGATCGTCAGTGGTCTCGTGAATGACTGAGCCGCTGGAGCGTCGGTGGCACTGGATGTTGATGGCTGGGGTGAATTCTCGGCTTCAGAGGTAATGGTAGTTGCTGCTGCGGCATTGACTTCTGGCGTATCGGTCTTTGGGTGATCATCTCCTGGCTCTGGCTGTCTAAGGCTGCGGTTTCTGTTACTGCCGGGTCTGGCTTCCTTGGTGAGGCGGCCTTCGCTGGTTTCTTGGCTTTTCCCTTCTTGTCAGGCAGGTGAATAGGTGGTACCTATCAGGTGTCTACAGAAAGCTAGATTCCTTCGGAGTCGGCAAGGCTTGTTAAGTGCTCTGAAAAGAACACCAAGCGTGCTTTCTCCTCAGTTCTCCCTAGACAATCGTATGCTTACTGATTACGGGCTGCTGAAACTCCACCCGCAACGCCGAATGTGCGATAACCAGTCAAGACAGGCCTAATGTCAAGCGAATCAGTGTCAAGTGTCTGGTTATCGAGAATCGGGCCACGAATGGAGAGTTAGCGATCGAGCAAAAGACTAGAAGTGCATACGACTGGGCTCTTCGTATCTGTCCATTCCCTACCTTCTGTCTCCTATACTTTTTATAGTCCAAGATGTCTGGCATTGGTGGTCAGGTCTGTCCACAACCTTCTGTCTCGGGTACTTTGGATCAGTTCTGACACAGATTATCTTCCATTCTGTGATGCCGAACTATGCAGCATCTTTTCTCTGACTCTCTGTACCTCTTTTCCACTCCAACTTTCCCTACCCTTATAGTGTACTTGACTTTTCTCCTTCTCATCACATTGCCAAAGAATCTAGATTGTCTCCTCCTAATCTGGGCAGTCAGTTCTCTTCCTGAGTCAGTTTCTTCAAAGACATCTTCGTTTCTCATTTTATCTGTCCATGGTTTTCCCATCATTCATTTATAAAAACCACATCTCCTTCGCTTCCACATAATTTTTCACAAATTGGCCAACTGTCCATGACTCACCTCCATATATCAGGATATAATTTATATAACTCTTGAGAATTCTCTTTCTCACCTCACTTGACAAAGAAAGATTGCACAGAATATTCCTAATTTTATGAAATGCTGCCTTATTTAGTTGTTCCAGTTACAGTAGGGCTTATTTAAGTATAATTTATAATTTGTAAACATGAGGATGATTGTACACTTGTAGGCTGTTGTAGAGTGGCTTACATGATTGTACACTTGTAGGCTGTTGTAGTGTGGCTGTACATGATTGTAGACTTGTAGGCTGTTGTAATGTGGCTGTACATGATTGTAGACTTGTAGGCTGTTGTAGTGTGGTTGTACATGATTGTAGACTTGTAGGCTGTTGTAGTGTGGCTGTACATGATTGTACACTTGTAGGCTGTTGTAGTGTGGCTGTACATGATTGTTCACTTGTAGGCTGTTGTAGTATGGCTGTACATGATTGTACACTTGTAGGCTGTTGTAGTGTGGCTGCACATGATTGTACACTTGTAGGCTGTTGTAGTGTGGTTGCACATGATTGTACACTTGTAGGCTGTTGTAGTGTGGCTGTACATGATTGTAGACTTGTAGGCTGTTGTAGTGTGGCTGTACATGATTGTAGACTTGTAGGCTGTTGTAGTGTGGTTGTACATGATTGTAGACTTGTAGGCTGTTGTAGTGTGGTTGTACATGATTGTACACTTGTAGGCTGTTGTAGTGTGGTTGTACATGATGTGCTATGTTTCATATCTTACTGCTGCTCATTACAGAACAATATGGTCAGCAGAGCGGCCTACATGGAGCTGGAGCAGAAATTGAATCAGGTATTGATTCTCTTCAAAATGTCAGTGTTTGTCATAATTCTCTTTCTGTGTGTGTTCGTTCGTGCCCGTCTGTGTATGTGTGTGTCTGTGTGCTTGCGTGTGTGTATATGTCTCTCTCTCTCTCTCTCTCTTTCTCACACTCTCTCTCTCTCTTTGTCTGCCTATTTGTCAGTCCACTATCTATGTTATGTCCCTTCTGCCTAGTGTCTCTTTGTCTTTATGCCTGCCTGCCTGCCTATCTGTCTCTCAGTATGTTGACTGTATGTCTTTTACCTTTTGTCTCTGTTTATCTGTCTCTCTATGTATGTCTGTCATCTGTCTCGCTGCCTCTCTCACTCTCTCTCATCCCAGCATCAGTTTCATATTAACAGTAACAAAAATAATTAAAGAGTGGAAGGGGGAGTAGCAACCATATCCAGTTGCCTGTTAGCACCTGCAAGGTGTGACAGTGTTACTGTTTTTTGTCTTGTTGAGCTCCTGTAACAGACACAGCTGTGCTGGTCAGGGGCAAACAAGAATCCTGCTGCTGCTGGAGACTGTGAACCCTGACCATTGTTTTGGTATGGAAGTGCACTAACCACCCTACCACTCTTCATATTCATAGTTCCATAACCCTTTCTGTCACAAACAAGACACTATGCTTGGGTGGGTAATATTCACATGTTCCAGGCAAAAGGATATGTTCAGTTTTCACATCTTATGTTTAGTCAATGACTCTGAAGAACTCTGGCAACATATTTGTTTCCCGCAAAGTTGTTTATCTGGCCCAATATGGAAGTAGTATACCCATGAGTTCAGTATTACCATTCTGAACTACCCTGACTTTAGCAAATACTTTGTTCGGCTGAAAGAGTTAATGCTGCGTGTTGTTGGGTCACCACTTGCTGTTGACTACCTGATCAGTTCCCTGCAGTTCTCTCAGTCACATGCATTAGACTTGATGTTTGCATGTTTGAGTCCTGTCCGTTTGGTCAGATTTGGTATTCAGATCTTTCTCGGTCTGCCTCTTCCCCTCTAGAGCCCCCTGTAGTATCTTTCTGCCACTAACATTTTGTAGGAAGTCGGCATTCCGAAACCCAAGTTCAAGGTGTCTCCTTCGTGCCAAAGAACTGCATGGCTGTTGGGTGAACAGTCGTTAACGAAGGCAGTCAGGGGCGACGCCTGCTGGTGGATGTAATGTCCTAAGTCCCTTTCCCAGCTAATAGTGAGGGTACTGCTGGGGTGACCATTTGTTAACCCCTCACATAATGCTTCAAGTCACAGTGGACGCTAGGCACGGCCACTTTTTTTTTTTTTTTTTTTTTTAGCCGTGGCAGTTCTGCCAGGCGGTGGCCGTTGCATTTTTGCTCCATTTGTAGACTGGAAGGATATAGTTTCGTCACCCAGCTTCTGAGTTGAGTGCATGGTGTGACACTGTGAGCTACGAGTGTTTTTTTCGTTGGCACAGGAGCGGAGCAACAATGGGGTGACCCGTTTGCTATGATGCTGAAACTAGGATTACCAGATTACCAGATCTTTCTGCCACTGCAGTTTCTTCTATACAGTGGTTACATCCACAGATTATCCAAATGAACCAGCGATGGCAAGCTTACAATGAGAACCAAGAGCAGCAAATCCATGGATTAAATGCCAGGATTGCAGAACTGGAACAACTAAATAAGGTCAGTGCCCGGCTGGCTTTATTATATCTGGTCTTCCTTGATGTGGTTCATAAGGAAGTGTATTTCAGTTATCTTCTTCTTCTGGTAGTGTCCACTGACTGTAAACTCAGGCCCAAAGTTCTGGTTGTTCATCCACTCCAGGACATGGGTTTTGTGTGCATATTATTTTTTACAGATCTGGCTTATGTGCAGGCTTTTGGTTTTTTTGTGTGCCTCTCAAGAAGATGCACTCCGACTGTCAAGAAAACAATCCTCATTGGTCACTTCCTCGGACAGGTTCATTAGTGGCGGAAGTAGGTCTACTCTTTGTTCTCCAAAATGGAGCTCCCCAACCCACGTGGGGATTTCTCCATACCCCAGCAACATCATGACCATCATGTCAGTCGCATTGAAGATTGTATGAAAATCATAACATCAAATAATTCTTTGTTCCCAGCTACTTTTTCAGTTCTGTTTCAGGCTACCTTACTGAAGTCATTGGACCATTTAACTTGTGTCCTGAACATTATGGGTTTATTATAACTATTATTTTTAAGTGTATGTGGTTATAAACATTTGTGTCTGTTCCGTATATCAACAGCATCATCATCATCAGGTTAGTCATATTCATCGTCATCATCCTGTAACACTGTGTATCATTGGGTCACCAGTTTCTGTTGACTGTCTGATCAGCTTTGTCCATCTTTGGCAGTCGGTTGCGATGGACCTCATGGTTGCATGCCACAGGCCTGTCCAGGTTCTGTAACGAGGTCTTTCTTGGTCTGCCTCTTCTCCTAGTTCCCTCTACTAAGCCCTGCAGTATTGTTTTTGAGAGGCTGTTGGATCTTATTACATGTCCATACCATTGCATTTTTCACCTTTTTGTTGGTCATATTGAATACTGCATTTAAATTGAATAGTAAACCAACAAACACAGAACTGGTGTCAACTGCCGAATGCTGTGAGATTTACAGAGTAGGGGATCCAAGCATCTCTTGACTGAACGGTTCGATGCGCTATAAAGATTTTTCTCGGCTTACTAATCAGTTTCGGGTCTCTCTCTTTTATTCACTAATGGTGGGAATTTTGGACCTGTCTCTTTTATTTACATGATGGGAATTTTGGACCTCTGTTTTTTTTTCTACCAGTGATGAGTTTTGGGACTGCTCTGTTTCATTCATCAGGGAATGTTTTTCTTGGGCGAAAGCTGTTTGTTTGAGCCGTAGAGCTCATGCTTGGTAGCACTGGCGCAGCAGACAGCTGGCTGCTCTCTGGAGAGGGGCTGAGCCAGATGGTGTGAATGACAGTGCATTTAAGTTGATGCTCTTACCCTTAACCAGACAACAATACACAAACCCTGATGTTGTATGCCTGTGTCTGGTATTTGTTTCCTGTATGTCCTGCTTTCCTTTTCACCTAGATCTTTGCTTATAAATATATGCTCATATTGATGTGTCATCATTATAAAGGTGATTATAAAAGTGCCCTTGAATGTAGGCTGTACTGAGTTACAAAGGCCCTGAATCTTCCGTTTTTTTTTCTCATTCAGACTTTATTCATTTTGTCTCTTGACACCAACTTGATACCCTGTCTTGTTATACTGGTCCATATACTGGTAATATTTCCTCATTATTATTCCAAATCAGTTATATTTTATCATTGTTAAGCCTAATCAGTTAGATTTCAGCATTGTTATGCTTGATCTCAATTATACTTCATCATCGTTAGGTTTGATCAGTTATATTTCATAATTGTTAAGTCTAATCAGTCATATTTCTGCATGGTTAGGTTTGATCAGTTATATTTCATAATTGTTAAGTCTAATCAGTCATATTTCTGCATGGTTAGGTTTGATCAGTTATATTTCATAATTGTTAAGTCTAATCAGTCATATTTCTGCATGGTTAGGTTTGATCAGTTATATTTCACATTGTTATGCCTGATCTCAATTATACTTCATCATTATTAGGTTTGATCAATTATTTTTCATTAGTTAGATTTGATCATTCATTATTCTTATGCCTGATCAATTGTATTTAACTATTGTTTGCCTGGTCAGTTATATATCATCAAAGTTATGCCTGATCATTTATATTTCATCAGCGTTTTGCCTGATCATTATATTTCATCAATGTTATGCCTGATCAGTTTATTTCATCATTGCTTGCCTTATCAGTTATTTCATCACTGTTATATGTCATTGTTTTTTATCAGGATTTATCTGAACAGTTACATTTCATCATTGATATGTCTGATCAGTTATATTTTATGATTGTTATATCTAATTAATTCTGCTTTCTTCCTTTCTTCCAACGTTATGTACGATCAGTTGCCTTGTATCATTGTGTTGTCTCTCTTCCAGGAAGGAGAAGAGCTCCAAGGCGCACTCAATGCTAAGGAAATGGAAAATCAAACTCTAAAACATCAAATCATGAATCTCACACGAGAAATCAACAAGTTGCGATTGCAGCCACCGGTTGATGTCAGTCTCATTGAGATTCTCAAGCAGCAGATACAAGTGTGTACCGAAGACTTTAACACAGAGAGGAAGGACAGGGAGCATGCAGTCAACAAGGCGAAACAGCTGCAGGATGAATTGAACAGAGTGGTTAGTGAGGTGGGCTATTTTCTACTTGTATTTGTTTTTTTGTTAATGGCATGAGAGTTAGTAACCATGGATAGGAGATGTCTTAAAAGGGCTGCAGGAGTGACAATAAGAAATAAAATCATGAATGAGGTCATAAGATAAAAAAAAAATCTACACAGAACCAATCTAAATAACAGACAAAAACAGCAAAGAAAATAGTTTATTCACTTGGAGAAAATGTCTTGTGACTCTGTACCATGCAAGACATACACTAATAAGAGGAAAAGAGCACAAGTTAGACGAAGAACAAGATGGAAAAATAACATCAGAGAAACTCTACAACAGCGTGAAGTGTCTGTGATGGAGGCAACCAGAAGAACAAGGAGCAGAACCTTATGTCTCCTTTGACACCCAGAGCAGTAAAAGAGGAAGTGGAGCAGATAAAGAAGAATGGGATGAGTATTTCATAGCGCTCAGAATGTTGTTTTTCCATCGTAACTTCAAATAAGGGGCTTCGGACAATACCGTGCACAATTTGTTGCCTAAAGAGCGATTGGCCGAACAGTTATGGATGCTGGGCTCTTGTTTAGGAGACCTAGATTAGAGTTCTCTGTAAGATGATGGTTTTTTCCCTGTCATGGACAAAACTAAAATCCTAACCTGCACAATCTGTGGTGACTGAACTAGCCAGGCAGCTCGAATCCTCAGGTTCAACCCCCTACCTCCCACCTTTCCCTGTCCTACACCATCAAACCTTGTATGATAGGCACCTTTCCATCTTTCCAGACGATAGTGGTATATTGCGCTAGGATGAGGCATGGGACTCACAGCCCATGGCGATGGCGAGTGTGACTAGCAAGACCCACCCGTGTCAAAAAAAGTCTTTCACAATGATTGCATGGGATTTCTGGACCATTGTTGTCAACATTTGTGTTTAATCTGTTTCTTTTCAGACTCTCAGCTTTCATACTTTCTGCAATCATTTCCTCCCTCACTCTCATTCCCTTCCTGGTATGCCCTTTCCACACAACACGGTCCATGGCATTTTGTTCCCATGCGTCCACCTCAATACATGTATCATTCATGTCCCGCTTGCACACATCTTTATACTGTAGTAGAGGTCGGCCTCGACATCTTCTTCCTGTCTTTAATTCACCAAAAAGGATGTCCTAAGGGATTCTGCCACCTGAGCCTTTGTAGACTGAGCATGGAAAAGACTGTTGTAGTACCTGCTCTTTCCAGTACCTCAGTGTTTGTGATTTTGTCCTGCCACTTAATGCCAAGTATTTTTCTTAGGCATCGCATGTGAAAGCTATTAAGCCGTCTCTCCTGGTGCAAACCTTGTAACTACTGGCATTAATGACAGGTTTGTTTGTTTAAATTGCCTGAAAATTTTGCTATATCTTGTCAGGTGCATTACCAGAGAGTTTGTCTGTAACCTTCTGTCTCAAGTATTTTCAGTCAGTTCTGACACAGATAATCCTCCATGCCATGATGTCAGACAGTCCAGCATCTTCTCCCTCAGTCTGCAGCTGTCCATCTTCCCCTCCAACTTTCCTACTATCATGATGTACTCCAGTTGTATTTTTCTCATGACAGGACCAAAGAATGTAGATTGTCTCCTTCTGATATGACAGTCAGTTTCTTTCAAGACATGAGTTGGTTTTTTTTCAAGACATCTTCATTGCTCTTTTTATCCATCCAGAATATTCTCATCATTCATGTGTAAAACCACATCTTCACCGCTTCCACATCATTTGTCACTAATCATCCAACTGTCCATGATTCACTTCCATATATCAGAATAAGATTTATATAATTCTTGAGAATTCTCTTCCTGACCTCAGTTGACAAAGAAAAATTGCATAGAATATAGAAGGGACAAACACAAACCACTGTACTAGCACAGTTTCACCGGTAGTACCCATGATCAAGCTGTTAGTTTGATTATATACTTTCTGCTTGTGTCTTGTCTTATTCATGTTCTGAGATCAATCTTTTCTCTTTTTCAGAATGAAGTCCTAAGAAAGGATATAGATAACCTGCAGAAGATTAAACATACTCCAGAGGTGAGTTCAAATAGACATTTGTGTAATCATTAGAAATAAAAGCGTACCGGAAAGAGGTGTGCAATTTTGATTGAAATTGTTATGAGGGACAAAAACATGCTAGCGGCAGGTATGCACTACCTCTGATCAGTACATTTCTGTTTAATACGAGGGAGAGGCAACAATTATCTATACTTTTCATTCTACAGTTTATTTGCATGAAACTAGAGTTTTACTATGGACCTCATGTTTCTATGTAATCTTCCTCCTTATCAATGCACTTTGCTCAACCGTCAACAAGCTTACATATTTCTTCCAAATAAAAGGTTTTTGTTTTTTCATAAAGCCACTTTTGCACCAAAATTTGCCTAACTCTCCGGCAAAACGGCAACCTCTACACACGTTACACTTATTCGACCACTTTTAAACTTCTCAATCCACAAAGACATAGTTTTACCTGAGAGTGCACTTCCTCCATATTGCGATGATAGTTTATGGTGAATTTATGAACCTTTGATACCCTCTGACTTGAGGAATGGTTTTACTGCTCATTGTTCCTCTTTATTTGCAAACTTATAATGGAGCGGCCATGACCTGTCTGCAACAGGAAGAAAAGTGGCGGAATTAGAATCAAACTTTCATAGCATTACCACAACAGTGTAACAATAAAATACAAAACAGAAGAAAAAAATTCAAAACACACGCGCGCGCGCGCGCACACACACACACACTGTGCAAGCAAAGTGGTCTAGATGTAGAAATTCTTGGCAAAAATATCACTCCTTTCATGACACAGCAGGATAATGAATGACAGTCTTCATGTAGAAATTCTTTGCAAAAACATCACTCCTTTCATGACACAGCAGGATAATGAATGACAGTCTTCATGTAGAAATATTTGCAAAAACATCACTCCTTTCATGACACAGCAGGATAATGAATGACAATCTTCATGTAGAAATATTTGCAAAAATAGCACTCCTTTCATAATCTGCAAAAAAAACCCAGTCTTTCACCAGTCACTGCCCCATGGGTTTGTTCTGTTCTGGTTTTAATATCTTATTTCTGCCTTGCTCAGTTTTGTTTTTGTCTTCTCTCTCTGGAGCTGCACCTTTCTTTATTGTTCTTTCAAGTCCACTGTGATTTTAATGTGTCCAAAACTCTTTCTTCTTCTTGTAGTTCATGTCATGTGTCATCGGTCGTCATATCAGTCTGCAACCTTAACATCCTGTCTCTTAGTCTGCTGCCACCTCTTGTTTACTCTATATGTCCTGTTATATTTTCATTCAAATAAACAAATATACCAATTTTGTTTCATAGCCAATATCAGAGATAGACTTTCAATATAGGAAACAGTTTTCAGAATTGCTAGTAGTTATTTGCTATTTGTGTGCCAGTTATTTAAGTTATTTGTGTGCCAGTTATTTAAGTTATTTGTGTGCCGGTTATTTAAGTTATTTGTGTGCCAGTTATTTAAGTTATTTGTGTGTCAGTTATTTAAGTTATTTGTGTGCCAGTTATTTAAGTTATTTGTGTGCCAGTTATTTAAGCTATTTGTGTGCCAGTTATTTAAGTTATTTGTGTGCCAGTTATTTGAGTTATTTGTGTGCCAGTTATTTAAGTTATTTGTGTGCCAGTTATTTGAGTTATTTGTGTGCCAGTTATTTAAGTTATTTGTGTGCCAGTTATTTATGTATTTCTAATTTGTCTGTGACAGGTGCAGTTTGATAAAAGGGAATCTCCATTTTGGATGAGGTCTCAGCCAATGCCTTTCAATGCTTTTGCTGGAATACCACCTGACAGACTCCCATTTCCTTCATCTTCTTCTTCATCGGGAACCTCCCCTTCAGTAGGTTCTTCTCACTCCCCGGTCCCGTCACCAGTACCGATGTCATTTTCATCAACATCATCTGCAGCAGACAGGTCATCGTTTTACCCTTCAGGTCCCCAAGACAGTAATGCTGGATTTCGAACCCTGCCCCGCACTGGATACAGGCAACAAGTGAGTCAGGCAAGTGGTCAGACAAGCCTACCTCGAGCTCGAGGTCCTCAGGAGGTTCAACGATCCTCAGCTTCTCCAGTGTCCATGCCAGCTCTGAGTAACAGAAGTGAGGGGTTGGCAAAGCCTGATCTCACCTGCCCAAAATGCAGCAAGGAATTTGCTGAAAGTCAACAGGCTGAACTTATTCACCACATCAACAGCTGCACAGAATAAGAGGATCCTAATAGCCCTGGATCTTTACTTCATTATCATCAATACACTGGTCATGTGTTAACAGTGAAGTTTGGAATGTAGGAAATGTTGATTATGTTTTCTTTAACATTATCATGCATCTGTACCTAATGATTAACTCAGGTGGAGATATTCCTTGAGTGCTGCTCTGTGGCTTAGAGTTTAGTGACAACATTTCACAGTTTCAGCATTCTAAGTACTAGGGTTAGATTTCCACAGCACACAGTTGGAAAAAAAGCTGTTCTTGTGGTATTTGGGAAGTTGTGTGAGAGCTGTATCATGGAAGAGATGAAGGCTTCACCAGATAATATTTCCAAAGGCAGCAGGGGATGCACTGCAGCTAATCTGCTTGATTTTCAGGCACAACCCCTTTGCCTGCCCCATTTGACATACATATGTTAACAGCTGCAAGAAGAATGATGGTGAGAAATTCATTGTGCATTGAACAGATCCTCCATCATTTCAGTTTTTTAAAACTGATACCATTGTCTGAGTTGTGTTGAGGTAAGTACTGGCATCATAATACTCGGGTCATTCTCATATAAGCACTCAGCCCTCATCTTCAGCAGCCAGCGCTGGGTTCTGATTCTGATAGTACTAGTAGCAATCTGATTGTATCTTTGTCTTGCTTTTGCATTTTTTTACTTTCACCAAGTTGGCATGGATAACATCTAGACTCTGGTGCAGCATCAGCTCATCTGTGGGCCAGCTTTCCAACATACCTGCATGCATGTCCCAGGGCAGATATCCAAAGAAGGCTAACCACATGGTACCTCTGTAGTGTTTGCTTGCCACTGTGTATGGAGCATGCTTTGTGTTACAATCTTGAGCCATCAGAAAGCTTCAGTGACTGCCTCCACCTCCATTCTCAAACTAGATTTTATGCTATCATATATTGCCAGAATTTGTTACACCAAATATCATCCATGTAGTTTTCTGTGAACCACATGTACTTCTTCTGCCTCTCCACATTGAATGAAATGACAAGATCTTGGAGCTGATAGCCTATGCAGTCTCCCTAACTAGACTGCCACTGTTACATGTTCCATCATACAATTCATCAAATGCTCTGATATCAAGATGTGATTACATATTTGATAGAGTGTTGACTCAACACTTTCGGTCCCAAACAACCCATAGTGTGTCATGGGATCTTTCTAGTGAGTCTCAACCTTCAAACAATGTGTTCTCTTACCTTTTAATTTTGGTTGGAGGATATAAGAAAATCTGGCTGCCCAAGTGGCCACATCATCTGTGTTTAGCAGCCTTATGTTAGTTTTCACAATTGTTTTGCTTACTTGAGCATTGGCTGCCAAATATTCTGCTACTGAAGGAGTTCAGAGCATAGAGTTGCAGCCTCAGTAGTCAGCCAGGTAGTTTCGACCCCTCCCTTGTAAACTGAGTTCACAAATTTACCATGGAAGGAGGTTTTAGCAATGGAGGCTGTCAATGGGGATGGACCTGGTTTCTTAGCCTTTTTTCACCAAATGGAGCATATACCTTGTCTAGCTGGCCCCAAAACTTTCAAATTCTTTTTGATAGTTTTTTTGGGCTTTTGCAGCTGAATCTTTTCAAAAGATGGAGTAGCCAACCATAATAATCTTTAAGGACTGCTTGGTAAGGTCTTGTAAATGACAGAGAAAGGTAAAAATCATAAAGGGTAGGTTGTTTGGTCACTACTGTGGCAACATTTGTAGGAAGAAAAGCAAAAATTTTCACAAGAGAACATTTATAGCCTATTTCAGTTGTGATGTTCATACATTCAGATCTTTATCAGTGCTGCCTGTGTGGTCCATTGAGCTAAAGCTTTATTTTGGTGATATAAATAATTGGTTGACACACTAATGGGTGGAATTCAAGAGGAGTTCAGAAATAAGAGAAGTGGTCTGGACAACCGCTAGTATCAACAGTCACGAGACAGAGAAGGTGATGCTATATTGGACGCTTTCTGAGAAGTGACGAACAGATAATCACCTGTCAAGCACTGAAATGAGAAATAAAGGGATAGAGGAAATGAAAACAACAAGAACATAACATAAGAAAAAGAACAAACAAATGAAGTGGTTTGGACACCTAACAAGAATGCCCTTGGTACTATCTGCCACAGCGAGCCACACTAAAACGTTACAACGGGTATAGAGTGAGTGGAAGACCTCGGAAAATATGTAGTGATGGCATTAAGAACAGCCTAACAGAAATGAACATTAGTCTTAATAGTGTTCTTGACAGAGCTCATCAACGAATGTTACATCTCCCCCCTACACTTCGATGAGGTACAAGGTGGAAGAGAAGAAGAAGAAGAAGAGGAAATGAGGACGTTTAAGAAGGTGAACTTTGATGACAGAAGCCAAAAGTGCTGGACTGGATTTTATCCATGGCATGGAAGTGATTGCACAAGAGAGAAGAAGATGGTAGAAATAGACTGTGAGCCCTTTGTGACAAGTAGTGACACAGCAGGACAATGAATGAATGAATGAACTACTGGGTAGTTTCTGATAGGCAGGTCCTTGTACCCAACCAGTCAGCTTGTGAAGGGAATCTGATGAGTAAAGGGATTGGTCACTACTCCTCACATCGATGTCTTGTAAGTGAAGATCTGTCACCCCACATCACTACAGCACCTTTTAGCATGGGGGTTTTCTGTAATGTTATGTAAGATTCTGTTGACTCTTGTCTGAGTTTAATTTGCATGTTTGAAAAGTCGAGTTCTGAACAATAATGTAAATGTATGTGCACATATGGAATGTATTATACTTTGAATTAATAATTTACTATTTTATAATTTAGACTGTTCTATTTATCATGTATATGTGATTCATTCATATGTATATATTTATATGTATCTACAACTTCAAAGAAAACAGACAGTATTATGTTTTTGACCTCTGATATTTTAGTAGATGAAATGTAATGCATGAAATAAGAAATCTGGCAGAAAAGTCTGTGTTCTTTGTCACCTTTCCATCTTTCCAGATGATAATGTTCTAGAGAGGCAAGACCAGTTAAGGCCAGAGATGAAGTAATGAGCAGTGTTATAGGGACCATGTGTTGTCCATACACCATGCTCCCTCTCTCAGCCTTCCTTGTTGACTCAGGAAAGGTAACATCAGAAGTTTGGAACAAAACGTTCTATAGAAACCTCCTAACGACTAAGCGGGCACACATAGAACCAGTGGCATTAAATGACGCTTTTCAGAAACAGGTCACTGCAGGGATGGCGAAATATCATCATTTACAGGACTGTGTCACAACCAGAACAGGCTTGATTTAGCCTTCTTGGGATGATAGGTTCAAATACCAAATTTATCTGTACAAATTGGGATCTTGCATCAAATCCCCAGAAATTAATCCAGTGAACTGTGACTGAAAAGCTTAATGTAATGGGGAAGCAGGACAACATGCACAGAACAACACAACACACATCGATGTTTTGGCCAGGGCCTTTCTCTGAGGTGTGAAAACAGGTCCTTTACTTTTTTTTTAAAAACAACAAATACTTTATGAACACACGAGTGACTCTGGGTCAGTATTCATGTAAAAACCTCAACAAACAACTGAGGCGCTCTAGACCAGTATTTCCCAGTTGGTGCTTCTTGGACCGCCTGGGTTCTGCAAAATAAATTGAAAGGGTCACTGATATCATTTTCAAAAACAAAACTCTCTCCTTTAGAATGCAATCTGTTCTGCAATTGTGATATTTATAAATAGGGCAGACCAAGAAGACCGTGGAAAGATAATATACAGGCAGAAGTGTAAACTCTTGGAGTCACCAACAGGAAATAGAGGACTAATCGCAGAGATGAATGAAGCGGGCAATATCTACAACAGTGAATCTCAAGGGCCCGGAATGCTGATGAAGAGCATTTATAAATTATTATTAGTTCTTATCTCTTCATCTTCTTAGCGTTCACTGGCTAAAAACTCTGATGGAAAGTTCTGCAGGCATATTCATTAGACACATGTATCTTATTTATTTATACACATTATTGGTTCCTTGCCTCTCAGGCAGAGGCACTCCAGCTCTGAAGGAACATTCTTCAGTATGAATGTGTACTGTGTACTATACCGGGTCTGTGGCAGACCATCGAAAAGTAAGAGTGTCTGCAGGCCTTCAGTTTGCTTGAGTCTGCTGCTGTGTAGATTAAAGCTGAAACAGCTGATAATAGAAATGATAAAATCAACGCAAGAGGCAGTAGTTAAATAAGAGATGACAGACACTGATTGATTAGAGGATGCTGCTGTAGATTAGAGCTGAAACAGCAGATAATAGAAATGATAAAATCAGCGCAAGAGGCAGTAGTTTAATAAGAGATGACAGACACTGATTGATTAGAGGATGCTGATGTAGAAAATCATGTTTTTATGACTGTTGTGAATACATACAAACAAAACTGATGTTACTGCCTGTATTGAGTCTTGGGGCCTGAGGTTTTAGGGTTGTATAGCTGCTGCAGCGGATTGGGACTGCAGGTTAGTATTTTTATTTATGAGCAGATGTAATAAACTTGATAAATTGATAGAAGCTGTTAAACTTGATTTGGAAAATGTAAGAGGATGACAAAGAGATAAACGCCTTTGATGGTTTGGGCAAATGGGAAGAATGATGTAATCTTGATCTAGAGGTTGCATGAAATGGCAGACCAATTATTTCTCATTGTTTTTTGTTGTTGTTTTTTTTTTGGTGTGTGCATAGCACCTGATGATGTTGAGAAAGTTAATGAATTGCTGTTTGCATGTCCAAGTAGACCAGCACAATGATGCTCAAAGGATATTAGAAGACAGGCCAATATGTTAGGTTGCATTTGTGCACATCTTGTGCATACCTGTGTTGTGCTATCAGGTTACATTTTGTGTTTGAAACAACATAAATTTGCCACATCCAAGATCACCTGAAGCTGTCTGCACTGTACCATTAGGCCATCAACATTGATGAAAGCTAACCCACAGTCTAAATCTCCCACAGTGCCATACAGCTTTTGATT